TACTGGAAACCGTTATTCCATAAGCAAAGCAAAAAACTAGCTGAGTTTAGTATTACAGTGTAAGAGATGATCCCAACGCCAAAGCCTTCTAGAAGTCTTCCCATATAAAGAAAAGAAGTATCCTACAAAACCAGAATGATGTAGAGAGTTGAGGTCAACCAACAAGCTCAATAAGCAGCATAAAGAAACTGGAGAACAATAACTCAATAAGTACTCACTTTTGCAAATGATATGCAAAGCCATCCAATGATATTGGGAATTGCAGCAATCATCAGAGACTGTCGAAAAAAACACAATAAGAGGTAAACAAAAGCAAGAAACAAGAGTTTATTAAATGGCTAAAAACAGAACAACCAAGAATCAGCAAACAAACTATACCCCTTTTCGTCCAATGTATTCTGCAATCTGACCACTGGCAATTGCACCAACCATAGCACCCACATTGGACAGAGAACCAAACACAGAGTACTGAAACATGGAGTAATAGTAGATCAAAGTCAAACACGGCTAAACAAGCAATGATAAAAACCAGACAGCTCTAGAAAAAGATTGGTCTATTACCTCAGATACCGTTAAACCGAGATCCTTAGTGATTGCAGCTTGAGTTGGAGATGAATAACCACACTGAACAAAAGAATGGAGGGTTTAAGGAACCAAACACAGAGTAATAGATCAAAGTCAAACATGGAGGGTTAAAGTAAACAATAAGAAATTCCCAGTTTTAGTCTTCTAAATCTGTCACCAAACTTGGAAAATCATCTCGGTTCACCAAGTTTGAGATTTTCACAGAAAATGACAAATCAAACAAAACCCAAGATCATCATCAAATTCAGCTCAAACTAGTTTTCCATCAAAAGTCCAGACCTTTCTGCTACAAAAGGAATAAAATGAAAAAAGTTGAAATTTTGGTATAGTCTTACAGTGAATCCGAATTGAATAGGACCAAGAGCAACGATCAAAACACATGCAAGAACAGAGATAGAGCTGTCTCGAATAACTTGAGACGAGCCCATCATACTCGATTGTCTCGAACCCATCCGGTACCAGCTTCCGGTGTGTATAAACGGCCGTCGCAAATCATTCCTACCCTCCTCATTATCATCTCTGAAACTCATCTTTTGATTCTATCTTCTAAACTCTCAATCCTAATCTTCAAGAACAAACAAAAAAGCTTCAAGATTTAACCCCCTGGAGATAAAATGCCGATTCTAAGCCGGAAAATGCCAAAAAAAAAAAGCCGACTTTGGACTTTGTATCTCAATTAAGGAATTTGATGACGGAGCTAGCTTGGATAAGAAGGGATTGAGAGAAACGCCGTCTTATTGAAAATAGAAAGGAAAAGGAATTTGGGTCTATACGGCTGTAATGGAGTAGTTAATTGCTGGAGAGAACAAGGAAGAAGACTGCTTCAGACATTTTTTTTTAGATCACAGTTGATGTAGCCGTCGTCGCATTTAACCAAATTTAGAATAAATAGAGGGTCTGATTGGTAACCAGCTGTTAGCTGGAGCGGTTAGCTGGAACTGTTAGCTATTATAGTGCAAAGCTGTACAAAAAAATAATACACGAAAGTTATACAAAAAAATAAAGCAGAACAAATTTTTAAAATTTACCCTGATTGGAAACATTATAGCAGTACAAATAATAAATAATATTAAGAGTTTAGAAAAAAAAATTACATAGAAATGTATTTTAATATATAATTACATATGAAAATTTAAAATTATGTGATGACAATTAAATAGTTATAAAAAAATTAAAATTATACAAAAACGGTCCGGTTATGGTCCAAAATACGGTTATGGTTAGCTTTTGGTCATGTCTGGTCGAAGATAGTAGGCATGACCAAAAGCTAATCGTAACCGTATTTCATACCATAAGCGGACCGTAACCGTTATAACAGTATTTAACCGTAACCGTTATAACCGTATTTAACCGTAACCATTATAACCGTATTTAATCGTAACCGTATTTAACCATAACCGTATTTAACCGTAACCATTTTAATTTGTTTTTGTTTTTGTCCATAACCGTATTTAACCGTAACCGTAACCGTATTTAACCATAACCGTAATTAGCCGTAACCGTATTTAACCGTAACCGTTGTAACTGTAACAGTATTTAACCGTAACCGTTTTAACCGTATATATAATAGTTAATGTTACATTTTAAAAAAAAATATAATCGTAACCGGTGATTAATTAACTGTAACCATAATAACCGTAACCGTGGTCATGCCTAAAAAATAGTAAAGAGCTAATTTCAGTTTGATATAGTTTTTATTATTTTAATCTGTTTTTATTTTTGTCCAAAAAAAAATTTGTTTTTGTACCGTTGTAACCGTAACTGTAACCGTATTTAACTGTAACCGTTATAACCGTCTTTAATCGTAACCGTATTTAACTATAACCGTCTTTAGTCGTAACCGTATTTAACCATAACCGTTTTAATTTGTTTTTGTTTTTGTCTAAAAAAACTGTTTATATTATCTATACCGCTTTTCATAAAGTTTTTGTGATTGGTAAACTGTCAAAGCTGTACAAAGCTGTACAGCTTTAAAATTGTTCACCAATCAAACCCAGAGATTGCTTCTTGTTTGTTTGTTTTTTTTTTTGGATTTTTTTCCTCTTTTACTACCACTTGGGAGGATTTTTTCTAAAATTTAAATGTGTCCCCAACAAAATTCTAAATATTATGCAAATTGGAAAAAATTTGTTGGCAAATAATAAATATAAAAAAGAATTATTTTGGAATTCATATCAGCAGGCCGGCTAATATTATATATATATATATATATATATATATATATATATATATAATTTTATGATATTATGGAACTCTTGGATAAGACATCCACATCCTACTTACATCATTAATAAATAAGTATACAAACTTTAAAATGATATTTTTGCGTGAGTTAAAATTGATTTGCATAAATTGCATGGGAAAATTGGTTTTTAAAAGCCTAGATTGCTCTATGTTTAAAAATATGCTGAATTTTAAATATTGTAAATTTGTTATACTCAATATCATATATATATATAGAATTAAAAATTTATAATATTAGTGAGAATTGTATGTTATCATTGAATATTCAACAGAAGTCAATTAAATATTTAATAACTTTCGTATTCACTACTGTCTAGTCAATTTATACATCAATATTTTTGTATCAAGTGCAATAAATATAAATTATGGTTCAAATTCGATCATTTCTTGTATATAGAAGTTTTTTGTAATTAGCTCGACTTATTAAAATGTGTGTTAATATATTTTGAATTTTCTGTCCGGAAAATAGATTTTGTCAAACATTTGCTCAAATTACTCATGAGTATACATAATACATGAGCCATATATTATAAAAACTGTAATTAAAACAAATAGAAAACGGTTTTTCATGTATATGTAATATATTTGTTAGTTGTAAGAAAAATGAAAGAAAAATCAAAACGAGAGAAATGTGAGCTAAGAGGAGGCCAAGACAGAAAAAGACAGATAACCAAATCAAATCATACAAAACACGTCTTTGTGATCTGATCTTACTGTCTCCATTCATCACTCATTTTTTTTCGTTGACCACAACTTTTTTTTTTTTGTCAATAAAAAAAAAAAAAAAAAAAAAAAAAAAAAAAAAACATTATACTAATATATCTTCCTTACATATAATTATAATTGATTAAGTCTCCTCATTTTTCACATGTAAAATACACCTATCGTCAATCTTTATTATAAACATTACTCAATCACATCTTCAATCCCCTTATTATTAAAAGGGAAGTACAAATTGAAAAATAGTCTAATTTGGCCTCAATTTCAATTTCAATTTTAGATTTTGTACATTGTTGATCAAAATCGTCAAGGGTAATTTGGTCATTAAATCTTATTAAACGATTAGGGGATCAGCGTGTTTCTAATCGGGTGGTTAGTGGATCAAATATTACCTAATACATAAAACGAATCACTAATCGGGTTTAACAGCTTCAAAAAACAATTATTCGATCCTAACCATTCAACATATATGGTATATAATTAAAGGCATATTCGAATTAAATTATAAGATATTCTTTATACCTCGCCTAATTGCTAACTAAATTTCTTAAATATTTGATCTAATATAATCCTAACCATAAACTACAACACAATATCTTTATTTTCCCTAAAATTGTGTATCATTCATTTGATGCCAATCAAAAAGATATGATAGTTAGGTGGGGGTATTGAACCAAAGAATTTAATAGAATCTGATTGAACAGAATTGAAGACATAAATTACAGATTTTGAAAGAATTAAAATCTTTCTTTATAATTATACCCAATATATTTTGCAACACTTCAACAGAATATAATGGAATTTTGATAAATATTCTGTTTTGTTCCCACAACGTCAAAAACAAACGAAGTTCAATCAAAGGCTTCTCTTGATCTTTAAACCAAATATCTTACTTCATCTGATAGTTTTTTTATTTTGGGTCTGATCAAAAGTTTATCATTTGTTCACTACAAAGTGAGTTTCTCTCTTTTCTTATAAGAATTGAATCCATAGATTTTAGATCTGTGAAATTTGAGAAGAAGAGTATCTACCATTGATGTCTAACTTGCAAAAAGCTGTAAGCCAAGTAAACCATGAATTTGTTTTCGACCCAGAATAGTCGCTGTGACTCAGTCGCCGAAATCCCGACGGAAACAGTCTCAAACTTCTCCTGTGTTAGATCTCTCTCTCAATCTCAGACAAACCAAGATTGCTTATGTTTTAGATCTCTCTCCATCTCTGGTTTAGATACAAAACTGTTCTGAAAATAATGGGAAAAGATATGAAGGCGAAGACGACGCGTTAAGATTTTGTTTGTGAGGTTGTTTTTGTTAATTATATATTTCTATCCAAATCTCACCCCAAAAGCTCAGAATTTTTTCTTCACATTCTGCACTAATGTTTCTATTAAATTCTTGTTAAATCATGTTGCCATACAAAATTCTATAATAGTGAATAACACTTGAATTTGATAGAACTTAAAAATTAACATCTTCAATAACACATGAATTTAAAAGAATTTACAAAATCTCTAATTGAATAACACTAGAATTCAACTTTCTATTAAATTCTCTCACATTCCTTAGATCAATACCCCCCCCTTAATGTTTCCAATATTTTGTGATTCCTCTCCAAGATTTTCGAAACTTTTAAAGCCAAAAACCCTAACATTCTACTTCACTATAAATATCAAACGTCTTTCTTATTTCTTGCAAGCACATTGCAGACAAAATATTGCAGACAGGTGATCGGCAAAGAAAAGAAAAGAGGCTGAGAATCGATTAAGGAAAATTGATTCAAGAGGAGATGAAGAAGAGCAAAAGGGAGATGGGATACAGAGATTGTGCACAAACTCATCTGCAGGAACAAGAAAGTCAAGGCTCAGTTAAGATCAAGCATAATCAGAGCAAAATCAAAATCGGAAAGTGACGATTCCGAAGCAAATTGAAAATCTTGTGAAGAATGAAGCGTTGAGGGAGAAAGCGAACTCACCAGTGAGTTGTGCCAATTTCGTGAAAGGGATTTGCATAGTGAGGAGGCGAATCACCAGAAGAAGAACAAAGAGCAAGGGAATCAAATCCCTAAATCAAAATTTGGGGATAAAGCAAATGAATCAAGAGGGAGTGTTGGATGTTGATCATAACTTAATCCTACATAAGAGAAAAGACAAAGAGAAGTGTGAGAAGATGAAGATGATGATGAAAGGAGAAGAATCGTAAGAAGCATAAGGTGAAGAGAAGAACAAGTGTTTTGTCGTAGAAGGAGGAGGAAGAAGAAGAAAGAAGAAAAGGCCATTGGGCCATATAAGTAATTAGGGCCCATATGTGTTAATGGGTTTCGTTTATTAAGAAGAGTATTAGGTTATATGGTTGTAAGATAGAGAGGAAGCGATCTACCCCAAAGAGATCTAAACATTCTCTTCTCTCTACTTAACAAAAATCAAAATGTTTTTGATTCAGTTAACTGTAAAAAACATATAAACACTTTTATAAAATTATAAATTATACATTATTTAATATATAATATGAAAACCAAATAAAATCGATACCCGCGATGTACCGTGGGTTGAATAAAAAACTTAATGAATATATTAGAAATTTGATATATCCATAATCAAAAAGGTTATACGATATTAAATTTTGATACAGATATATAAAATATATAAAATAATACACATGTTTAACCACATTAAAACCCCTTCTCCTAATTAAAAATTTAACAACAAACAAAACAAAAAAAAACATATTTTATAAATTGTGTATATAGAACATTATCAAATACTTAATAGGAAAACTGCATAAAACCGATGTCCGCGGTAAACCGCGGGTTGAATCCTAGTTTATATGAAAGAAGATTACATCAAAGACTTTCTGTCATTCATTTTTTATTTCGGTGAACACTATATTTCCCTCACACACAACACAAAGAGTTATTCTTGACTTCTTGTAAAATAAAAACTGTAGGGTTTATTGAGCCCAATTTTGAAGACCCATTGGGCATATTAAGAGAGGCCCATATTGAGGACGTCGGAGCGTGAAGGCCACTCTCATGAAAAAGAGCGTTAGAGAAGAATTAACGTCAACACCCGAGACGCAACTTCACTCGGTCGTGGCTTATTCTCCGATTAGGTTTTTGATTCTCTTCGTCTTCGTCTTCGTCTCTGAAGCGACCAAAAACCCTAATTTTACCAATCCGAAATTCCGATTTCACATGGGTGAACATTCACCTTCTCAACCATCGTCTCAAACTCATCCCCAAAATCAACCAGAATCACCCAATCCCGAAACCCCTAATCCAATTCCACCGGGAACTAACGATGATGACTCCGCCTCATCCGCCGGAGTTTCTGGCTCAATCGTCTCATTAACCACCATTGAAGCACCACGAGTCACTGAATTAGGCAATGTATCGTCTCCACCTTCCAAAATCCCACTCCGTCCTCGAAAAATCCGGAAACTTTCACCCGACGATGACGCTTCCGGTAACGGCGACGGATTCAATCCGGAGCATAACCTTTTGGCGACGACTTCAAAACCGGCAGTGAAGAGTAAATTGTCACAGTCACGCTGTGTAACCGTGCCGAGAATCCACGCGAGGTCTCTAACCTGTGAAGGCGAGCTTGAAGCAGCGCTTCACCATCTCCGAAGTGTTGATCCTCTGCTCGCGTCGTTAATTGACATTCACCCACCACCAACGTTCGAGACTTTTCATACTCCGTTCTTGGCTTTGATTCGAAGCATTCTTTATCAGCAGTTAGCAGCTAAGGCAGGGAATTCAATCTACACCCGCTTCGTTGCCTTATGCGGCGGTGAAAACGGCGTCGTTCCAGAGAATGTATTGCCTTTAACACCTCAACAGCTTCGACAAATCGGTGTTTCCGGGCGTAAAGCCAGTTACCTTCATGATCTTGCTAGGAAATATCAAAATGGGATCTTGTCGGATTCTGGAATAGTGAATATGGATGAGAAATCTTTGTTCACCATGTTAACAATGGTGAATGGGATTGGCTCATGGTCAGTTCATATGTTTATGATAAACTCTCTTCATAGACCCGATGTGTTACCAGTTAATGATCTTGGTGTAAGGAAAGGTGTGCAGATGCTTAATGCCATGGAGGATTTGCCTCGTCCATCGAAAATGGAGCAGCTTTGCGAGAAATGGCGTCCGTATAGATCAGTAGCGTCGTGGTACATGTGGCGGCTCATTGAATCTAAAGGTACACCACCGAATGCTGCGGCTGTGACGGCTGGAGCTGCTCTTTCGTTTCCACAGTTGGAAGACATTCAACAACAACAAGAAGAACAACATCATCAACAACAGCCACAGCTTATGGACCCCCTTAATAATGTGTTCAGTATCGGGTATAGTCAGTTACTTTATCAAACTTAGTATCTCAGTGGTTAATATGCAAAATACCTGTCCTCTGCTTTTTACTTTGCTTGAATTTTGGTGCCCTTATTGTTGAATATGTGATTTAGATAGAGCGAGCATTGGAGTGATTGCGTTATTGCTATTACTTGCTGAGAGTAAGTACTAACGTGTTTTTTTTTCTCGTCTCCTTGTGTTAATCTCAGTGCTTCAACGCATTTTACTTTCACTGTCGATGCATGTGGTATACGTTCTTATAATTAAGATATATTTACATTGTTTTTAGTTGGTAAAGAAAATACTCGTATGAGCGTACAAGTCACCTGAGAAGATAGGGTAGTTTTGTGGAGCTTAGGATATTCAAGAATAGCATCTATATTCTATGCAGGGAATTGGTTTGAGGTTGGTTTTCTTGGCTGGATAGACCTATTTGATCTTCTGGCTGTAGTTGATAGATTTCTCATGTCAAGTCCTTTGCTTATCTTCATCTAGTCCTCAGCCTTAGGCTAATCACGTTTATGGCAGTGTATACCTTCACTAAAACTAGATGAGATGGAAGAAAATGGTACTTTAGGACTTCTAATATTTGAGACGTCACCTATGGTACTAATGTTTCACATTGCCACAAGCAAATGCAAAAGACACTAGTCAAGAAAATTGCTTACAGTGGGTTTAACCATCGATAGCATGATAAGTGAACCTTTTCTCATCCAAGTTACTTTTTTTCGTAATGCTGAATGCTTGGTTGTGAATTAAGAAGACTAGTTACAATAATAACAACAATGTTTATTATACATTATTCTTCTAATTTGGTTCTTATTGTTTTCTTAACAGGGCATGGGGCCAAACATAGCTGACTTGGCACCATAAATTGTCGTCTCTCATAGCGTGATAGGGATTCTGGTCCGGTGGTCTTCCACTATTGTCTGGTGAAGAAGTCTTTGTTCCACAGCTAGGAAATAAGAATAAAAATGGCATTGGAACAGAAATCTTCTTAGCTAAGTGAGAGTATGTAAGATTTTGTTTAGCTAATGAACTTTTCATCGATTTTCTTTTTGTTGGAGACTGGAACTGTTGGCTAAAGAAACCTATAGAGCGTCTCCTGATTCGTATCTAAAAACAGAGCCACATATTTGTTTCTAAAACAGAGCCACGTCTGCTAATCAGAATAACACATGGTTTTTAGCTGATGAAGAATAGTCACAAGAAAGCCATAAACAGAGGTTATGTCCTTGTTGCGTTGAGTTGTAAAAACACAGTAACAACAAACAATCTGTAATCACATGGAAGAAAAAAAAAAAAGAAGCCTATTGATGATACATCAGTTATGGATCTTCTATTATCAGTTTGAAGACACGGGGGGTCGATGAGAACTTGTGCTTGGTTTGTGGCCTCTGTCACTGTAACTGAGACACAGATCCGTCATTTCTCCACCACACAATTAAAGCTGTGTTTGGTAAGTAAGAGAATAGTGTAAGAAAGTGAAGCATGGGAGGGTGAGAGACAAACAAAGAAAACTCATAATTTTTGTAGAAAACAACAAAGCAAGTGTTCTGAAACAGTGAAGTAAGAGTAGTTCTGGTTTTGGCTATAAAACAAGTTGCAACACAAAACCCTCAAGTTTTGTTTTTCAGAAAGAATAGAGAGCTGATAGAGACAAATCACTGCTTTCCTTTTCATTCATTTTATTTCCTTGCTAACTATTTCTTTTTATATACAATATATTTCTCAATGGTTACATAAGAATATTCCATGAACTTTAAAACACCATTGTAACTACATTATGCAACTCCTTAGCTTGCGTTAAATTAACCAGAGATCGATTTAGATGAACCAGATAGAGAATTGAATACTTTAGTGAAACCATGTTGGTGGTATTACGAATTCCAAATCCCAAAATGTCCCTATAGCTACTACACTAGGTGTAAAAAATCATACGAAGAAGAAAAAAAAAAAAAGAGTGGAAAAAAGGAAAAGGGGGTTTCTTGCGGGGAAGCGTGGAGAGTGGCAGAAAGTAGAGAGAGAGAGATTCAGACATTGTTGGGTTCTACAGTTGTTACTACTTCAAACTGCTTTGTTTTTTTACTTTTTTGGTTTGATTCTCTGTGTGAATATCGACATTTCATATCTTCACAATTCTTATCACTTAATTCTCTCCCTCTTTTTTTTCTTTCTTTGACCTCAATTCTCTCCCTCTTTATATGTATGAATCAATTAGTAATTCTATACTTTTTATGTCCCATTTTCACATGTATTAATTAATATAACCATTGTTGACGTCAAATTTCATTTATAATTTTTTTTTTGTTTAAAAGTGTTGTTCTCTATGCTTTTCCTATATAAGTATCTCTTAGAAGTTAGATGATATCCAAAATTCTCCTATTAGTATTTTATCTATGGTTGTTCACTTAGCTTGTTCTTATTACACCGATTAAGTCTACTCGTCCCAAACCAACAAATAGGCAAAACAAGATCAATGTTAGAGACCCTATTGTTATAACAGTAATTAGGAAACAACTAGATCAAGATAGACTTAAATCTTATGTTGATATAGCATCATTGTTTGTTTGTGTATACATAGAGTTGTACCTTAGAACTTTTAATGACAACGAAAGTAAACTAGCTACCAAAAGTCTTCGTACGTACTTTGACAGTAAATATAGAAAATATTAAATTAATGGGAACTAATGATAAGCTTGATAATCGTATTAAGCATAATTTGTATTTTGACTTTAATTTTTTTGTTTTTTGTATAGGTCAAAAAGGTCGAATTTGTACACTGTTCCTATCCAATGCGTAAGTCTTATAGTGTAGAGCTGAATTTTTGATGTTACATAATGTAGAGACATGATGATCTAAATCGTATCAGATATAGATCTTCAAATTTTGTTTGGGGTAAGCTTGTCAGAGAACGTATGATGTTTCCAAGATAATTAACTTGGTAAAATCTGTGAGTGAATTTGTAAAGCAATCTTGGCATATACTGTTTGTATGTTTTTTAAGTACATCTTTAACAAAAAAAAAAAAAAAAAAAGTTTTTTAAGTACATAAACACAGATTATACCACTCTGTAGCAAAGGTTATGCACTTATGCAACAGATAATCCAGTGTTGTAGACATTTTGAAATTTAAAGATTTTTAAGAAGAAAAATATGATTTGAGAAATGGCTGCAATTATTTTCTTTATGGATTTTTTTTGTGAATATGATTCACAATTGAGTAGAAATGTAATATCAAGTTAATTATTGGTAGAACTAAATACTACTATATTTGGTAGACAGTTCGAAATTACCTAGTAAATCATATGTTTGGGTTGTATAGTTGGATTCGAATTTAAATTAAAGGCAAATAAATGAATTTGGTTAGAAAGGGAATGAGGTCATAATGCAAAAGGGGACAAAACATGTTATGGTAGAGAAGTAATTATCGTGTGACAGGTTGTCCATGGGAAATTCTGCAGAGGCTTTTGGTTCTTATCAAATTAAATTAATTTGACTTTTAAGATTTGGTGCACAAAAAAAAAAAAAAAAAGACTTTTAACATTTATTCACACGCATGGATTATTGCATTTGACGTTGTGAAATAGGCTTGTATTTTTCATCTTCTCAAAGTAATACTAATATATATGCCGATTAATTAGAACAAGAATTAGTGAAATGAACTAGTAATATTTTTCTTTTCTTTTTTGAAAATAGCGAAATGAATTAATATGCATTTCTAATTAATCACACGAATGAATAATTTGTTAAATTAATTAGAATATTTAGTATTCCTTCTGTTTCAAATTATATGATGTTTTGGCTAAAACCATATTTTTAATTTTTTTTTAAAAGTTATTATTTAATATTTGATTTTTGAAAATCAACCAATTACAAAAGAGAGTGCATAATCTATATAATAAAAATATTAAATACATTTAAAATTTGCATTAAAAGTTTGAAACTTATAAAACATCTTATATAATGAAACATAATAAAAACTCCAAAACATCATATATAATGAAATAGATGGAGTATATGAGTAAGCCGTATATTGATAAACATTAATGATCATATATCTCATTACATGCACTAGAGCATGTAATTAAGCTTCAATCAGGAAAACATCTTACATGCACTTGATGAAGACTATACAAGTTGTATTAAACTTGTAAAATACTTTTATAATAACAAGTAATTTTATATAGTATATTAAAAGGGAAAAGTAAAAAAGGAAGAAAAGAAAAGAGGTAGAGTGAAATAGGAAAGAAGAAAAGACATGAGTAAGAAGAAATGGTGTTTGGACAAATTAGGGCTTGAAAAAAAAAGATTAAGGAGAGAGAGAGAGATGTAATAATGAAGAAGAAGGAGGGAGGGGAGAGAGAGATAGAGAAAGGGGGCCCATAATGTGGCAGGGCATGTGGCTGGGCTTCCAACTTGACCTTGTCGGTTGCTCTCTGCACTGCCCTTCTCTGCAACCCACACACCTCTCTTCTTTTTTTCTTCTTTTTTTTTTTTAAATATATATATCAATGCTTCATTTAAATTAAAAAGATTTTTTAATTTAAGAAAATTTAGCTCATTCAACTAATAGTATTACTTTAATTGTGATAAATTATGTCAATAGATAAGACTATACGAGTATTATCCACCAGCTTGAAAGTAGTACAGACAAAAAGACAATATATAGAAAAATAAACAAACAAAGATTACGTGATAAGATAATCCGATAACCATCAAGTTACTACATATGATCCATTTGGCACAAATTACAATGCTTTTATTAATTATTAGTCATTTAGTGGTTATTTAATTATCGGTTGACTATAATTGTTTAATCTGCTTAAAGGCGATAACTATTGGTGCAACAGTCTAAACCCAATTTCGGTGCATTATCCAACTTTTTGTTGTATGTTGTTTCTCCGATTTTGAAGTGCATTTCTTGCAAATTTATTTATATAATAAACGCGTTAATGACGTACTGTACACAGTAAAAATGAGCTCATAAAAACCCGAGATAGAATGTCAATAATTGCATCAGTTTCATGCGACTTACACACCCTCACGAAAATTACTATTCAACCATTATGTGTCTAGAGTAGACCAATCAATTCATACAAAAAAAAATCATTTGATTCAACGAATATGAAATATAGTAGTACAGTAATAAACTAATAATGTTGGGACTAGCAAATTTTATTAATTTAGAGAGATATTAATTTATCGATAAATTAATTTATAGAGAGATTTTACTAATTTTGTAATTTTTTAAAAATATTTCTATCTAAAAATAATTTTTTTCTTTATAAGTAATATCTTTTAAAACCTAATTACAAATAGAGAAGTAATTATTAAGTTTAAAAAAACAATACAAACTTTTTTCGAATAATAGAGTCATATTTTATTAAATTTTTTACATAGAATATTTTAAATATATATCATAGTAATTCAAATATGACATATATAAATTTATATCATATATATATATATATATTGATAAGTTTATACAATTATTAATTTATGTTATCGATGGGACCATATGTTTATATGAGATTTTCAAAAAAATTATTATCTTATTAATTTATCGATTTATGTCATATTTTACACTTGTCCCAACTCGGGACCAGAAGAATTTATTAATTTAAAGAGGTTATTAATTTATAGAGTATTAATTTATAGAGTTTTTACTATATATCTGTTTCCAAAAAACTGTGACAAATTTTCACAAATCTTAAGAAAATTTCAATCATTCTTGTTTAACTATAGAGTAAGTATACAAAAAATAAAAAAAATTAGCCAAAAACCACAAAATCTTATTTTCACATATTTTTATCTTCTGTATGTTCTTCCTTTTTTTTCATTTAAATATGTCTTGATGATTAAGTTTGATAAAAGGGTCAGTAAGCTACAAATCACATTCTGCTCTAAAGTACTATAGAGTAACAATATTGTAGGATAAATCTCTTGTAAACACACAGAAATAATAGAAGTAGTAATTCAACTAAAATTTCTGTTCATAATTAAAATTATAAAAGCCATTATATATATTAAAAAAAGGTTATAAAAGCGCATTTAAATTAAAATGCTAAATTAATGATAAATACACCTTAATGAAAGAAGTATAATAAAGAAGTAGTTAATAGTATAAGTATATAGTAGGGTATGATATTAGTGTCATCTCTCACAAAGGGCTCAGCTCTTATCTCTTTCTCATGGCCTCACCACAAGCAACCAAATTGTCTCTTATAATCGGATCTCAAAGGTTGGCTTGTTGGGAGCACTGAGACATCAAACATGGTTTCTTCTTTCTTTCACTCTTAAAAAACCAAATTAGCCCTAAACACCTCCTTTTAGTTTAATCCCAAAAGTTCCTCAAATCTCTTCTCTTCTCTCTCTCCATTAAAACCCTTCACAAGCAAAAAGCTTTGAGCTTTAAATGAGTTTAAGGTCCTGCAAAAACTGGGTTTTTCCTCGTGTACTTGTTCATCTTAGCTCCTCTGTAAGTCTCTGAATCTCACTGCCATTTAGTTTTCTTTTTTTCCTTATTAGTAATCTCATTAATATGTTCTTTTTCAGGCATGAAATTAAAAACTTCATATTCAAGAAAGAAAATCTTTTTTTTTTTTTGGTTGATCTCTTTAATTGAAATCCATTTGGGTTTTAATTTAATCTCCAAGAAGACAAAATGGATATGAGAAGCCATGAAATGATAGAGAGAAGAAGAGAAGACAATGGCAACAACAATGGTGGTGGTGTTATTAGTAACATCATTAGTACTAATGATGATAATTGCAATGGTAATAACAACAACAACAACACTCGTGTCTCTTGCAACTCTCAAACCCTAGATCACCACCAATCCAAGTCTCCGTCTTCGTTTTCCATCTCCGCCGCAGCTAAACCCACCGTAAGGTACCGTGAGTGTCTGAAGAATCACGCGGCGAGCGTCGGCGGAAGTGTACACGACGGATGCGGCGAGTTTATGCCGAGTGGTGAAGAAGGAACAATCGAAGCTCTCAGATGCGCTGCTTGTGATTGTCACCGTAATTTCCACCGGAAAGAAATGGACGGCGTTGGAAGCTCGGATTTGATCTCTCACCACCGTCATCACCACCACCACCATAACCAGTACGGTGGAGGAGGGAGAAGACCTCCGCCACCGAATATGATGCTTAACCCACTCATGCTTCCTCCGCCGCCGAATTATCAGCCGATTCACCACCACAAGTATGGAATGAGTCCTCCCGGAGGAGGAGGAATGGTGACGCCGATGAGCGTTGCTTACGGCGGAGGAGGAGGAGGAGGAGCTGAGTCGTCTAGTGAAGATCTGAATCTGTACGGACAATCAAGCGGAGAAGGAGCAGGTGCGGCGGCGGGACAAATGGCGTTTTCGATGTCGTCGTCGAAGAAAAGATTCAGGACAAAGTTCACGACGGAGCAGAAGGAGAGGATGATGGAGTTTGCGGAGAAGCTAGGGTGGAGGATGAACAAACAAGACGAAGAAGAGCTTAAGAGATTCTGCGGTGAGATCGGAGTTAAGAGACAAGTCTTCAAAGTTTGGATGCATAACAACAAGAACAATGCCAAGAAACCACCAACACCAACAACTCTCTAATCAATCAGTGATCATATGCTTAATCGAGAGATTATGTAAGAGATTTTCTTTTAATCTACTTTTCTTCTTCTTGTTGTTTATTTAATGTTTTTTTCTAGGTTTTTGTAGTTTGTACGATCTTTGGATCAATCAATGGATCTTTTGTTTGCTTAGTTAATGTTTTAGTTTTGGTTTGCTTTTAGTCTTTTTTTAATTTTGTTTGTCTTTTACCCGGATCGTACTTGTAATCAGCTTCTGTTGCTTATTAGTTTATGCTTCTGTCTTTTTTACATTTATGCTTAACACAAACAATTGTGTTGTACTAACTTAAATAGCCAAATACAACATTATAATTAACATTTCAATACAAGAAGGAAACAAAAAAATTACGAACTAAATGTCAAATGCAAACATTCTGTACGTATAATGCCGCCATTATAGTACTTAGTTTTCTTTAAAACATGAATACAATGTTAATTGACAGAAAGATTAACTTATCTGTGTATTTTTGTTATATTAAATAAGAATGAGTTTATAAAATATTATTATAAATTATATGAATACGCAAACGTTATGATCAAAGTTGAACATTTTTAAATTTTTGATGTGAAATATGTCCAAAATTGTAACCATATGATTTGAGTCTACTGTAGATCTGTCACCTTCCAAATTCTGTACCAAAAAGAAAAACATGTGAAAAGAAAATTTAAAAAAAAACAGAAAAAGAGAAGATTCTCATAGTTATAAAATTCATAGATGAGACCAAAATTATAGAACTCACGACCTATGTATCTTCTTCTTTTCTTCTGTGTCGTCACGACCTATGTATCTAAGCTACCATATGTAATAATTGGTTATAAATGATATTTTTCGACTTTCTTTTGCGACCATTTTGTGTGGGAAACTGTTGATAATTATTAATTTCATAAAATCTTATTCTCATCGAATTTATGTTTCTTCCTTTGAGAAAAAGAAAGTGGGCCAAAAGAGAAACTATACAAAAAGCTTCCCGTATCAAAGTCTGTACTCTGTACAATACCAAAAAGTATGTGATCCTTCTGCTTCCGTATGTCACTGTGACGACGTCGTTTTGTGTTTTAGTCGGCCACCTTGTTTGATTCTATGTTGGGTACTTTCACAATTAAGGCCTGGCTATATATCAGTCGGCCCGTGAAAGCCCATAGTTAACATGCTGATAACAACAATTTGTTATGTATGTATTATTACTGAGAAAAATTAAATAACAATATCTTATGAATGTGTTACCGACAAAATGATTTTAGGTATTGTTGGAGTTATTTAAGTTCATGTATTGTCAACTTCTCAAGACACTTTTTGTCATTTTTTTTTTTTTTTTTTTTATTTGTTGATTGTAAATCAATTTTTTGTCATTGATTTGAAACACTACATTTTCATCATCATAAAAGAAAATTTGTTCTCAAAATAGTTATGCATATAGGAAAAAAATTATGATTTTAATTTTATGATTATTTCTATTTACCTTTTTAACGAAATTTTTTTATTTCCCTACCGTATATCAGTTGCAGAAAATTTTGGAGGAGACATCAAAATAAATAGAAATTAAAGCAAAACCGACTTTGCTTTATCAATGATCAACTCGTAGAGGGACAATGCATCTGTCTATCCATTTTTAGTCTCGGATTACATCTTATGAGATTAAATAGATTAATTCTGAAAATTGTATTGATTAAAAACATATAGTCCCTCCGTTTCAGTTTAGTTGTCGTTTTAGGATTTAAATTTTGTTTCATAATAGTTGTCGTTTTAGGTTTTCAATGCAAATGTTTACTGAAAATTCCAGTTTTATTCATACTGTTTTAATGTTTTGGCCAATGAATTTTTTTATAAAATATATCAATAAAGGGTAAAACAAAAAATTAAATGATTTTCTTAATTTGTGTGAAAAAACCTTAAACGACAACTAAAAAGAAACGGAGTGAGTATTGTTTAATTAAGCCAATCATCCCCAGCTGCTTGTTGCTTTCTTCTTTTGGCAAGCTTTTTGTATAAATCACTCTTTCCCAATTAGGAAAAACAATATTCTTATCGGCTTTCAAAGGTTGATTATATTCTCTACCTGATTTATTAATTACTTAAAAAATATATATATAACCAAGTTTTAATTTCTTCAATTAAAATAGACCACAAAGACAAATATGAAAGCGAATGATCAATACAAAGATAATCGGTAGACAGAAGAATCACATAACCCTCCGAATCTTTACAAGGACTTCTTCACGCTGATGTTAGATCTTCAAATTCTTCATTTTCCTGTACAAATGATTAATACAGCATAAATGAAGGCATGTTTAATCAATAATTCAAGCATGTTGATTAGATTCCAACCACATAAATGTTTAATTAATTAACAACTTGAAGATATCGTTAATTAAAGGTTTCCTAAACTCGAGTTTTGCCATAAACAACTTGTAATATAAATAACACTAATGTCAACCACCGACCATGGACAGAAGTAGAATTAACCAATTTATCTTATCATGGTATAATGTTTCGTGCCTCAAAACTGTTAAAGACAATGTGCATGTGATGAAGTACATGAAAGGATTAGATTTCATGTGAATTTTCCCCTTTAGTGTATTAATCGGTGTATGTTTCATGCTTTTATATATAGAATTTGATTATTTCATATAAAATAATTTACATTTACATTTATACTTAAGCAAAAAAAACATAGTATGTAAGTAAACTATATTTGTAGAAAATTTCTAACACATTATTGATATGCAATCGCAAAAGAAAAATAGACATAAAGAAACAATAAAATCCATAATCCAATTTAAAGTTCATAATTAATATATGCTATTTTGCGCGAACTAGTCATAAAAGCACGTTAAAAGCAAAGAAATATATATAATTAAGAAGAACTCTTTGAGAGAATTTCTCCAAATCACTAGAATGACTATCAAAATCGTGAGCAGTATATAGATATTTAGTTATATACCTCGTGTCAAAGTCGTTGACGCCTCTTGAGTTAGATTCGAAGGTCTTGTAATTGGGCAAAGGGACACGACCAGTCTCGATGTTGATAAGATCCTCGACGAGAATGTCATAGTGACGCTTCACTTCCTCTACAGTTTTCCCTCCGACAGCTTTTGCCACATTGTGCCAACGGTCGGGTGTGTCCTTGTCGTAAACTGCCAAGGCCCTCTCGAACATCTTGTTCTGATTAAAGGTCCATGACGAGATTGAACTTCTTGAGTTTGACGCCATTTATTTTATAACTTGAGATGGAAAAGAGAGAGTGAGTGTTGATAGTTGCTATACAATGAATAGCAAGGCGAGGTTCCTTATAAGGAGGAGAAATTAAAAGACAGTTCCTAGATTCTGCAAGTTGGAGATTTTTCTATTTTAATTTTAGTTTTCAATTTGCTAGCTTTTCATTAATTAAGTTGATACTCCCTCCGTTTCGTTTTAGTTGTCGTTTAAGGTTTTTGCACACAAATTAAGAAAATCATTAAATTTTTTGTTTTACCCTTTATTAATATATTTTATAATTTTTTCATTGGTCAAAACATTAAAACATTAATGACAAAACATTAATTTTCACCAAACATTTGCATTGAAAACCTAAAACGACAACTATTATGAAACAAAATTTTAATCCTAAAACGACAACTAAACTGAAACGGAGGGAGTATTAGATATATTTAACTTACGATAACAGCCATATTAATGGTCTACAATAATTAAGTTGATATTAAAGATATTTTACTCACGGCCAGATTAGTGGTCTACAAAAAAGTCATGAATCGTAACGCCAGAGTAATAATTTCAGATGTATTTTTCTGAAAATTAAGTGTATCTTGTCAAGAATCTCACATGGAAAGTGTGATAAAACGTAAAATAATAAATAAGAAATGAACTAATTTGTCATTGCCAGTTGATTTAAGTAGAAAGCCTATTAAACTTAAAATATCGGTTTTCAAAATTTTCAAGGAAATTTTATACTGTTATTTTGTTCAATTTAAACATTAGTATTGGTTAGGAGCTATTTAGTTATATGTAGTCGTATACTCGTATGTTCGTCTAGGCATCCATATGATTGATAAACTTTCAAAAAGAAGAATCTAAACATTTTTAAAAAATGATAATATGCACGTCTAAGCAAATTAAAAGTTGGAACCTATTGATCATATCGAGAAACGGTTCACAACGTAAGGTTAAAGTTGGTAAGCTGAACAACTTGGCATAATGTGATTATAATAGACAGAAGATTACAACGATGCTACAAGTGCCACTACTTATTTTTGTATAATCGTTCACAGTTTTCGATATCTTAATGTTAGCCATTAAGATACTTTGTGTGGTGATGATAAACTTAACATAATATTAGTAGACATAGTGCATATAACATGGCATTATTGGAACGAAAAGGTTTTGATATGAAATCACAAGTAAATGGTAAGATATGCCAATATGTATTCTGTAGTTTAATTGTATATCCAAAAACAATCATATAACTAAATGATGATAAACCATTATTTGGGCATCGTTTCTGGCTAATTTTGTGGGAGGAAAAGTGCACTAGTTGCTATAAACTGCATACATGTAGCGCTTATAGATATCCTAATATATATTTTAACATCTAAAGCATATTAAAAGATGTTTGAATGATAGTTTAAGTTCTATTGCCAGCATCAACAAATAATGAAACGAATGCAAAATGCTAGAGATTGGACAAATAAAGGATTCGATATGTCATCATCATTATCTCCTTCACCAAAGTTCGTGTATATTTGTTAAAGAAAATCATTTTCATTTACCAATTCAAAATGATAGATAAATATATTCTCCTGGACCTTGAATCTAATGACTTTATGTGTGATGTAATGGAAGAGTCCCATTCGTAATGACAAGCATTTTTATAAGAACCACCCAAAATTTGATGCAAAGAGAATAAGGACATAACCGAAAATTTTTTTAAAAAGAATAAGAACATAAGGGATATTATCGTTTCCTTTTGTGATAAAATTCCTATATCCAAATCTAATCTATTTTCTGTTGTAAATACTTCATGTCGATCTAATGAAAACGACCAAAAAGTTGTCCAGTTGCATTGCCATTGGTAGTTCATATTTGGTTAATTAGAGTCTAAAGGTCTTTTAATTTGAAAGGATTTTATTGGTTAGTTTTAGACTCGAGTCTCAGTAAAGAACAATTATATATGTATACATAAGCTTTAAAAATGTTATGGAAACGAAACGCAAAGTTCTTGGTTGATCAGAAACACTATTTGAATGATTGGTTTATGAGAACATAATACATTGGGGGTCTAAATCAAACGCATAAGATGAATGAACATAATAGCTAGAGAAATAATTTGGTTTCACTCATTCTTCTTGAATATGATTCAGTTTTTTTTTTTTTTTTTTTCCAGAATTACTGAAACTTTTTTCCATGTGTTTTTATAATAGATAGTGAAATATAAGAGGAACACTTATTTCTACATACATATTACGTCTGATATTTTAAGCTAGGCCTAGGCATAGGGCTTTTCTTTTGCTCGGTTAAAACTTAAACTACTCTTGAAGAAGACTCTCTTTCTTATAAATAAAACCCAACCTTGCATGTCTTCACTTTCAAGTTTTCTCTTTGTTCTTTGCTTCTCCATAAAGCTCTCTGTTAACCTAACGAGCAAAAGCATCAACTGAAGAGAGATTCCAAAGACAACTTCACTAGATAAACCGATCACATTTCTTTACCTACCTGAAAAGTTATCTTTCCTCCTTCAGACACAAAAAACTAGTCATATACATACAACGTAGACAGAGAGATGAGTGAATCAAATATTTACTCTTTACCATTTACCCCATTACAATCATCATGCCTCCTTTCCGTTTTCGCATCCCATTCTTCTCTTCCAACTCTCCTTCTCGTCTCTCTTCAGGGACTTCTTCGCCATCGCCACCACCAACTCCTCCTCCTCCTCCTTCACGCCCTCCTTTTCGTCCTGCAGGCATCGCTCAGCCGTCAAAGCCAGAAAAAAGGTCCAAGGTGTCACCGTCACTTTCTAAGAGTAGAAGCAATGTTGCGGCCCTAGCAGCTTCTTCACCCGCGTCTCAATTGCCTTCTAGCGGTGCAGCCACGCCAACCCGGCTGGTGAAACAGACTAACCAACAATCTGCTTCTCCATCAAAGAAACTGGATTCTCTGAGGATTGAGGAACAAAAGGTGACGACGAAAGAGAAGCCACCGGGAGAAACTAAAAATGTAGCTGGCGAGAATATCAATCCGGTAAAAGAGAAACCACCGATTGCTCGTCTAGAAGAGCATTTAGAACGAAAAGAAACAGAGGCAGTTCAGGAACAGAGGAAGAAGACAGAAGCAGAGAGACTTGTGATGCAAGAAAATAAGAAAGTCCTTCCTGAAGGCAATGGGGAGAAGTCAGCATCAGATATTGGACAACAGAAGAGTAAAGAAATCGAGAAACTTGTGCTACAAGAAAGGAAGAAAGTTCTTCATGAAGGCAGTGGAGAGAAGTTGGAAACAGATCAGGGACAACAGAAGAGCAAAGAAACCGAGAAACTTGCATCACAAGAAACGAAGAGACCGCTTCAGGTGGTAGGCAGAGAAGATACAACGCGAAGCAAAACCACACGACATATTGCAGCAGCATCAGAAACCACGAGAGGACCGAGAGATCTACCGGAGAAAAAGACAGAAACGCAAAACAGAACAGAGATTCACACCGATGACAATCATCAGAAACCCAAAGGCGCATTAACGAGTAATCTTGGAAATCCGAGAGTTACGACTGGACAGGGATCATCATCTTCAATGAGCAGAAAGATCAAAGAAGACATCAGAGATGGAATCAGTAAGCTTACTTGGGGAAAAGGCAACGGCGATGAGAAATCCGTGAACGTCTATACTCTAACTGGAGAAAACAAAGGAGCCACAATGGGAATAGGTTCTGAGAAAGACAAAAAAGACGGTGAGGTTCATATTCGCCGTGGCTACAAAAGTAACCCAGACGAGAGCCCTAACACCACAACCATGGAAACCGAAAACCCTAAAGACGACGAAGCAGAGGAAGAAGCGAGGTTGAAGGCATACATAAACGGAAATACTCAAGGGATAAACAATTCCATTGTAGTCGAGAGTTCAATAAGTGAGAATGATCCAGGAGTTCATATGAGTTTAAAATTGGAAATATCAAAGAAGGAAGTTATAAATCCGGCAGAGAATGTGGAGGAGGAGAAGAAACCGGAGACGGTGACAGCGACGAAGAATGAGCCGAGAGTAAGGAGGAGATGCTTGAGAGGGTTACTTGCGGAGTCGAGTGGGTCGGATCCGGATAATCCCTTGAAGCCACGGAGACATGGTTGCCGGTTTACTTGTAAAGACAAAGATATCGAGAAAACTTCAAAATATATGTAAATTTTATGAAATTCTATTCGATCAAACTATATTTGCTCCTTAACTGGTAAAAGAAAAAACAGAACTAAACCGGAAAAGTCTTTGAACTCTTGACCACAGAAACAAAAATGAAATTTGCTTCTGAGTTTGATTGTTCTAGAAGAGAGAAATGTTAATCAACTTTTTTTCTACTGTATTAGAAAAATAGAAAAACAATCGCACGGCGTGACAGAGGAGAAGAAAAGTGCCAAAAACAGAGACTCTTCGATGAAGGGCATTTTCGTAATTCAACAAATCAAAATGTCGTCGGAGGTTTTGGTGATCGGAGGAACTGGTTACATCGGAAAATTTATCGTAGAAGGTAGCGCCAAATCCGGCCACCAAACATTCGCCCTCGTAAGAGAAGCCTCGCTTTCCGATCCCATTAAGGCCATTAGGCCAAAGTCGTCCAGAATATCAAAGACCTCGGCGTCACAATACTAAATGGAGATAAAAGAGATTTTAGTGAAAGCAATTCAACACGTTGATGTTGTCATCTCCACCGTTGGTCTCTCCCAACTACTAAATCAGACCAATATCATTTCAGCAATTAAAGAATCTGGCAAACATATCAAGGTCAGTCTTTTATCTTCAAGATTCATACCAATAAAGATACAATGCTTGTGGAACTTTTACCTTATAAAGATGTTTAATTATGATTTGTAGAGATTCTTACCGTCTGAGTTTGGCAACGATGTGGATCGAACGGTGGCGAGTGGTCCAGCCAAGTCGGAGGTATACCGTATACTTATGTGACCAACAATTGTTTTGATGTTTTGATGACCAACTTACCGTACACTTGCTCTGTTGCTCAATGTGAAAGCAGACTCACTTCTCCTCCTAGAGATAAAGCCACTATCTATGGCGATGGTAACACTAAAGGTATTAGAAGCAACAAAGAACTAATCAAAACGTAAGTGAAAGATAGAGAGAGATTTTCTTATTTGGTTGCATGATTTGCAGCTATTCTAAACAAAGAAGAAGACATTGCTGCATACACCATGAGAGCTATTGATGATCCGAGAACTCTCAACAAGACTCTCTACACCAATCCTCCAAAGAACATTGTTTCGCACAACGATATCGTCGCATTGTGGGAGAGCAAGATTGGTAAAACTCTGAAGAAGACTTACGTTTCAGAGGAACAACTTCTCAAGAAAATCCCAGGTGAGAGAGCTAATTTCACACTCTTTTATACCAGACATAAACAATCAAGATCATGTGTTTGCTAATACTTGAAAATTTCAAGTTGAAATGTTGCAGAGTCTCCACATCCACTTGATCTTCTGTTGGCTTTGAATCATGCCATATTTTTGAAAGGAGATCAAACCTATTTTACAATAGAGCCTTCCTTTGGAGTGGAAGCTTCTCAGCTTTATCCAGATATCAAGTACACAAGCGTCGATGAGTATCTCAGCCAGTTTGTCTAAAACTATAGCATCATCATCTAGAAGCAGACATTTACTGTAATCAAGAGATTAAGTATTGACTCCATTGGTCTGTAATACCAAACTGAATAAAAAGATATGATGGTTTTATTGCATCATTATTGATAGGAGATAAACATCTCTAACAAAAACAAGAACACACGCATATATTCGTGCATTTTCATGATTCGGTGACGAATAGTTGTAAAGCAACATTAACTAGAGAAGCATGGATCCACATCACGCTTTCACCTTCGATTCCCAACCCGCAACCACAATCTCTTTCTTAGCCTTGGTTTTCTCGAACGACTCTCTAGAGAACAAAGCCTTGGCGTAGTTACGAACATTGGTCAAGCTCTCAGGGACAGACCAGTTCTTGTAATGACCAAGAGCAACCTCAAGATGGTAAAGCTTTGGTGCTAAACTCAAATCCACTGCAGTAACTTTCTCTCCAGCAACAAAAGGACCAGAATGTGTCTTCAAGTGATTCTCCAACGCTTCTAACTCATCAACCAACGCCTTCTCGGATCCGTCATTAGCGTCTTTGCTCTTCAAGAAAGTCACAAAAGCACCAAAGATTTTGGATCCCACGGAGGCGAATTCAGGAGGAGTCTTGAGAGAAGGCTCTGGATATTTCTCCTCAAGAAGTCCAACGATAACATCTGAATCAGCCACCCATTTGCCATCAAGCTTCACCACCGGAACTTTCCCCTCCGGACTAATGTCTAAGAACCTATAAACACAATTTCAGAGAAAAACTATCAAAAGCCCACAAATTTACAAAAAAAAACACTAAAAAAAATCTAAACTTTTCATATTCCGAATTCGATTTGGGGATTACACATTAAGCTAATCAAATTTCATCAGTAATTATTGGGTTCACAAAACTTACCACTGAGGTTTGTCGGAGACGTTAATCAGATGGGTCTTGTAAGGAAGCTTCTTCTCCTCAAGGGTCAGAAGAACACGTTGGCTAAACGGACCTGTAAAAGAAACGAATCAATCACACGCATTTGTAGATCACAGATCAAAAACCCTAATTTGTGAAATCAAGCTTAATGTGCATAAACAAAACGAAGAATCGATGATCGGAGAGAAGATAGGGAGAGAGAACATACAATCTCCGAGAACATCAGGAGCACCGACGGCAACCTTGACGCAGATATCGAGAGCCATCGATCTTTCGATTTTCGAAGAATAATAAAATTCTCTTTAAAAGCAAAATATGAATGAAATAGGCAAAGTATCTTTCAAAAAAAAAAAGGAAAACAAATCTTTGGTCTTTAAATATATATGTTCATGAAATTTGTGACGTCATTGATAACGTGGCTGTTACGTCGGTTCAGTGTTTCCAATATATTCGAACCTTCTCCAATTGGTTCGTAGGCTCTCCTCTTTTTTCACTAATCAATGGTCAAATCTTTGTCCAAGTATTACCAATAAAAACAAATAATAAATCATCATCGCTTGTGATGTTAGAATGTATTTGTCAATGAATTTGATCTATTTTCCGTCCAGATTCCATATGTATATATACCAGTCTGACAGTCTCCTAATTCCTTTTTCTCTTTTGGTTTAAGGCTTCGGTTTGCTTACTCTGGTTCTGTATATAAATCACACAATTTTTGCTCAAAAACAAAAAATCACACAATTATATAGTTTGTGACCAATTAATGAGAGTCCGATATGATGTCAAAAAAAAAAATGAGAGTCCGATAATTGAATTTGTTTTGTTCTTTATAAGCTCACACTAACGATCATGTTGGGGGCTAACGGTTGGGTCAAATGATTAAGTTTTTATTTAAATAACGGTTTCGATTATAGTTTTAAGGTTTTAACTTTTAACCTTCTGGTTAACCAGTATTTATATAACGGTTACAATCACTTTAAACGGTACGGTTTTCTTTTGGCCATGTCTATGTCATCAAAGGAATATTTTAGCTAATTAGGATTTTAATTAGAGTTTGATGTGGAGGCACGAACAAGATATCTTAGAATTGAAGTAAAGTTCAGTAAGGGTATTATCGTAAATCAACCAACCAATGTCTGGTCCATAAATTGCGCTGCCCAAACCATTCCTTCAATCATCATTCTCTTACCACTCAAACCTTTGCGCACCAAACATGGCTTCGGAGAAAAGCAAGATTCTGGTGATCGGCGGAACTGGTTACATCGGAAAATTCATTGTTGAAGCGAGCGCCAAAGCTGGCCATACCACATTCGCTCTGGTCAGAGAAGCAACTCTCTCCGATCCCGTCAAGGGCAAAACCGTCCAGACTTTCAAAGATCTCGGCGTCACAATACTACACGTACGCCTTGAACTCTATATCTTTTACTACGATGATTCATAAAAATTTCATAACCATAACGTCGTTAGTTATGTAACCTGGTCAGGGAGATTTGAATGATCACGAAAGCTTAGTAAAGGCCATTAAACAGGTCGATGTGGTTATATCGACCGTTGGGAGCTTGCAAATCTTGGATCAAACCAAGATCATTTCCGCCATTAAAGAAGCTGGTAACGTCAAGGTCGGTATTTCATATTACCTTGATTCAAACTCATTACATATAAATAGAATCCAATTAGTCTTTTAGTGTTGTCGATCTGTCACCACCCGAATTTAAACTTGTATAATGTATTGTTTTAGAAAATTATATCGATTAGCATATGAAAGAGTAGTTCTAGACTAGAGATACCTAATTGTACATATAGTCTCTTATTGGATATGTTATTTGCAGAGATTCTTGCCGTCTGAGTTTGGGGTGGACGTGGACAGGACAAGTGCGGTTGAGCCAGCGAAATCGGCTTTTGCAGGGAAGATGCAGATCAGGAGAGCCGTTGAAGCGGAAGGAATACCATACACGTACGCTGTCACCGGTTGCTTTGCCGGTTACTACTTGCCTACATTGGTTCAGTTCGAGCCTGGTCTCACTTCTCCTCCTAGAGACAAAGTCACCATTCTTGGCGATGGAAATGCCAAAGGTTAGTTTCAAGAATCCAAACATTAATGTGGCTAAGGCTTATTATACAGTTCAATCTTACACGGTATAATATTTCGTAGCTGTGATCAACAAAGAGGAAGATATTGCTGCTTACACGATCAAGGGTGTGGATGATCCTAGGACTCTGAACAAAATTCTCTACATTAAGCCTCCTAACAATACTTTATCTATGAACGATATTGTCACCTTGTGGGAGAAAAAGATCGGCAAGTCTCTCGAGAAGACTCACATTCCAGACGAACAAATACTTAAAAGCATCCAAGGTTTAGATAATCAATTCACCAAGAGGTTTTTAGATTCTTTGTTACTACTACTACCTTTCTCATTCCTTAATAAAAAAGAGTTTTTTTTTTGGCAGAGTCTCCGGTTCCCATCAATGTTGTTCTGTCGATAAACCACGCGGTGTTTGTGAAAGGAGATCAGACCAATTTCACTATAGAGCCTTCCTTTGGCGTGGAAGCCTCTGAGCTTTACCCTGATGTCAAGTACACGAGTGTTGACGAGTATCTCAGTTACTTCGTTTGATAAATTTCATAAAACACGTAATTTACCACCATGACGCCCTAGCTTCATGTTTGTATTTCAATAAAAGACTGGTGCTTCTAATGGTGAATGTGTGTGTTAGTGTATTTGTGTGACTAATCAGTAATCACAGTGCTTTACCTCTGTTTCCGATCTTCCCAAGGATTATGAATTAGTAATATATAATTCATACCTTTAAGTCTATACATACATGATTATCAATATGTTAGGTACCTAATTTTTTTTTATTCTAATCAATTTGTTTTTAATACCCAAATAAAATATTTTTATATCCAAATCAGAAAATATAAATATCAAACCTTGAGTTTGGTAATAGAATTTGAATTTGGCCATGTCCATTGTTTATATTAAGCGAAGGTATTAAGTAGAGGAATTAATTAGAGAGTTCATAGATAAACAAGAAAATAGAAAATTCTTTTGAGGGTTCGGTAAGAGTATTATCGTAATTCTATCTTAAATCAACCGACCAATGTTTGGTCCGTAAAGTGCTATTCCTTCGCTCACATCCCAAAATCATTCTCTTAGCATTCAATTTAATCATCACGTTTCAAATCTAATCATGGCGTCAGAGAAAAGCAAGATTCTGGTGATCGGAGGAACTGGTCACATCGGAAAACTCATTATAGAAGCGAGCGTGAAAGCCGGACACTCCACACTGGCTCTGGTTAGAGAAGCCTCTCTCTCCGATCCCAACAAGGGCAAAACCGTCCAGAATTTTAAAGATCTCGGCGTCACAATACTTCACGTACGCTTGATCCTTTCGTTAATATGTTTCATACAAATTCAATAACCACAAGTCCATAACTAACCTTAGTTATCTATATAACTTGGTCAGGGGGATTTGAACGATCACGGGAGCTTAGTGAAGGCCATTAAACAAGCCGATGTGGTGATATCAACCGTTGGGAGCATGCAAATCTTTGATCAAACCAAGATCATTTCAGCTATTAAAGAAGCCGGTAACGTCAAGGTTGGTATTTGATTCAACCGCTACATATGAATATAATCCGATTAGAGGGTCAATTCTCATATTGGATTTGTTGGTCTGCAGAGATTCTTTCCGTCTGAGTTTGGGATGGATGTGGACAGGACGAGTGCGGTTGAGCCGGCGAAATCGGCTTTTGCAGGGAAACTACAGATCAGGAGAACCGTTGAAGCCAAAGGAATACCATACACTTACCTTGTTACCAATTACTTTGCCAGTTACTACTTGCCCACATTGGTTCAGTTAGAGCCTGGTCTCTCTACTCCTCCTAAAGATAAAGTCAAAATATTTGGAGACGGAAATGCCAAAGGTTAGTTTCATATCCAAAACATTAATGTGCTTTTCACACAACTGAATCTAACACGGTCGAATATTTCGTAGCTGTGATCAACAAGGAGGAAGATATTGCTGCTTACACTATCAAAGCGGTGGATGATCCTAGGACTCTAAATAAAACCCTCTACATCAATCCTCCTAACAACACTTTATCAATGAACGAAATAGTCACCTTGTGGGAGAAAAAGATCGGCAAGTCTCTTGAGAAGATTTACATGTCAGAGGAACAAATCTTTAAAAGCATCCAAGGTTTAGAAAATCAATTCACCAAGAGGTTTTTAGATTCTTTATTACTGCCTTTTTTCATTTGCTGAATATAAAGTTCTTCCTTTTTGGCAGAGTCTCCGGTTCCCTTCAACGTTCTTCTGTCGATAAACCACGCAGTGTTTGTGAAAGGTGATCAAACCAATTTCATTATAGAGCCTTCGTTCGGTTTTGAAGCCTCTGAGCTTTACCCTGATATCAAGTACACGAGTATTGATGAGTATCTCAGTTATTTCGCTTAATGAACTTCATTAAACACCTAAACGACGCTAGTTTCATACTTTCATGTTTGTATCAATAAAAATGTAATGGTGAAGAATGTGTGTGTGTGTGTGTGAGACTAATCAGTAATCACAGTGCTTTACCTCTATTTCCACCTCAATGGAGCTCGTGAGAAACGATATGCATCCATGATTAAGCCATTACGGTCCATAAAGCTGTTAAACCACAATAACATCTCAAAAATTAACATATGGCCAAATGCAATTTGTATTTTACGAGCAGAACATGTTTATCTTGTGACTAACAAAAATTGTGTACTGTGATGTTGAGTGAGGGTATTGTCGTCAATCAACTAACAAATTATCTGTCCATAAATTGCCCTGCCAACGCCAGTCCTTCACTCAAATTCCACATCATTATTGAATTAGTAGTACACACTCATTAGTCATTACCACGTTTGAAACATGGCGACGGAGAAAAGCAAGATTCTGGTGATCGGAGGGACTGGTTACATGGGAGAATTCATCGTTGAAAGGAGCGCGAAAGCCAGTAACCCAACATTCGCTCTTGTCCGAGAAGCATCTCTCTCCGATCCTGTCAAGAGCAAAACCATTCAGAGTTTCAAAGATCTCGGAGTCACAATACTACACGTATGCGGTATGCATGAACTCTCACCTCTAACATGTTTCACACAAATTCATAACCATAACCTTAGTTATGTAACTTGGACAGGGAGATTTGAATGATCATGATAGCTTAGTGAAGGCCATTAAACAGGTTGATGTGGTGATATCAACTATTGGGCACAAGCAAATGTTGGATCAAACCAAGATCATTTCCGCCATCAAAGAAGCCGGTAACGTCAGGGTCGGTATTTGATTCAAGCCTCATTACATATAACTGGCAATGCGATTAGCATATGATTTGACTAAAAAGATATAGTTATGAGAAAAATCCAATTGCACATAGTCTCTTACTAGATTTGTAACTTGTTGTTTTCCAGAGATTCTTGCCGGCTGAGTTTGGGACAGACGCGGAGAGAACAAGTGCGGTTGAGCCGGCAAAATCATTATTTGCAGGGAAGGTAGAGATCAGGAGAGCCATTGAAGCTGAAGGAATACCATACACTTACGTTGTTAGCAATTGCGTTAGCTCAGTTCGAGTCTGGTTTCATTTCTCATACTAGAGACAAGGACATCCTTTTTGGCAAGGAAAATGTTCCTCCTAGAGACAAAGTCACCATATTAGGCGATGGAAATGCCAAAGGTTGAGAATTTTATAATGTAACAGAAAGTAGAATCTTTTAAGAAAGAGGAAGATATTGCTGCTTACACGATCAGGACAGTGGATGATCCGAGGACTATGAACAAAACCCTCTACATTAGTCCTCCTAACAACACTTTATCGATGAACGAAATGGTCAGCTTGTGGGAGAAAAAGATCGGCAAGTCTCTTGAGAAGACTCACATATCAGAAGAACAAATCCTTAAAAGCATCCAAGGTTAGAAATCAAAATCTGATCACCATTTACCAAGAAGTTGTTTAGATGAATTGTAAGATATGTTCTTTTTGCGTAATCTCCAGTTCCCATCGATGTTTTTAAGTCGACAAACCATGCGGTGTTGGTGAGGAAGCTTCTGAGCTTTACCCTGATGTCAAGTACACGAGTATTGATGAGTATCTCAGTCAATTCACTTGAGAATAATTCACAAAAACAACAAATTCACCACGAAGATGATGCAAGTTTCATGATTGTAACAATGAAAAACTGATTCTTGTAATGATATATGAAGAATTTTGTGAACTCAAGCTAATATTACACTCAAAATTGATTACTTTTTTCAGTATCTTGTGTCAATTACAGCTTTAGGTACATCTTTGTTTAGTTTTGCATAATATAGGAAAAGGTCGAGACAGACGCACCTGACTACCTGAGGCTTATCGGCGAATCGATCGCCGGAGAGAGACGAAGCTTAAGAGATGAGCTCAGCTTCATCTACGACGTCGTTTCAGTTTTTCATACTCCTACAAAACCTTCTCTGTGGGTTAGAGGTTTAAGTATGGGCTCTTAATGGGCCGAGACGATTTGTGATTTTTTGTTAGAAAAGAAAATAAAACAGCGGAAGTAAGCAAAAAGGCAAAGCATGTGGTTGGGTTTGAATATGCAATGCATATGGCTAAGAGATTCTCTCAGAGAATACTTTTAAGCAAGAAAGCAACTGAAAAACACTTTAAAGATTGGAAAAGCCATGGCACATTAGGTTTTTCATGATGCCATGACCTATCGAAAAGCATGATATATATTTTATTTTATTAGAAAAAAGAAAAAAAAGGAACGAAAATAATGACGATGCATGTATTGTAGTATCGTGGGCTCCATTATTGTGCTTTTGACTGACATAATTAGATTCTCGATCGTATGGCTTTGATTTACTTTTCTCTTCTATAAAGCTAAAAAGTAATTTGACATTTATTAAGTTTTTTATATCAATTTCGTTGAATGTGAAATTGTCAAAATGTTCTTTAAATGATAGTTTCTTAACCACATATTTTTTTTGTCAGATATCTAATTTCGGATCTACTAAACTATATGATACGATGAGAGTGTTTTTTCTTCTATGGCCTTCAAATAATCTAACTGTATGATTTTTATTTGTGTTATAAATAGGCGTTTGAACTTTGAAGAAGATAGAAATTGTAACTTTCAAATGTGAATTGGGTACAAATTTCCTACACACTAATTTATGAGCAAACCGGTCAACATCACACACACACACACACATTGATACTTTTCCTCTTCATCTTACGATGTCCTTAGAGTCCTAATCAAAATATAAATCATAACATGGTTTGGCAAAAGGCATTCCCAACAACTACATCTGTCACTGCCACTTTATAAGTTATATAATAGTATCATTAGGTGATCAGTGATCACTAATTACTTTATTAAGATTATTTTATTGAACTTGTGGACCATTATCCAATAGAAATGTCTCCATAATGTTTTTTAAGTAGACAATTAATAAAACTTTTTTGCGCTATATATACTGAAGGGAACAAGAAAAATAAACCTATATTCTTCAATTAGATTTTCTAATGTTGTTAAACTGTCTAAAATACTCAAAGCGGTGATAGCAGAAAACGATCTTGGAAATGGCGCAGAGTTTTTGCTTTTTATCCGATTTTTGGAAATGGCAAAGAGTTTTTGTTTTTTATCCGATTTGTGAATTATGTTCCAACTATTTTATATGTTTGGTTTTTGTGTTCAGACTTCATACTACTATTTTGTCGGAAAATGCATGAATTCTCTGGCTCTTGGTGATTGCCAGCAACTATGAAGCTGTGAGTCATTACATTTCTCTACCAAACGTGTGCATATATATATATATACATATGTCATTGTTATTGTTAAGATGTCCAAAAAAAAATAAAAACATATGTCATTGACTCGTTGTTATACTACATATTATTGTTCAATTCAATTATTATAAGCTAGATTCAAATATTTACATGTATTTTGTTTGGTCTTACTTCGCTTGGACCAGCCTGTGTCTAAAGTTTTGGACCACATCCCAAAAATCACAAAGGAATGCTTCAAATTAAAATCATGAATGTGAGTCCTATGACCAAATATAATTTTGGAATTATTGGTCTGCTTTCAAAATTTTGGGGTAAACAAAGATATGTGGGAAATGTTTGTTTTTTTTTTGATAAAAATATGTAGGAAGTTGTTGTGACAAGAATCCATGTCTTGTATCAAAATCATGTGATCGTTCGAGATAAAAGACATATCACAACGGCTTAATATACACTTTTGTAACGCCACTTGTATTCTACCCTCCTCTTGTTATTTTCTTCTGATTTTTTGGTTTTTTTGCATGATTACTATAAACCAAATTTGAGGTCACAATGTCGGTATGATCAAACTAAACTCACAGAAATTGTGTTCTGAGTTAATGACTTAATTCCAAGCGTATAGATTCATTTCATGATCGAATCAATAGTTATCAACACATAATTACAAACGATTTCGCACTAATTATTTTAGTTTATAGTTAAATTTTGTTTACTGGGTGATTGATCCTTTAGATAGAAGATTTTTTTTTTGGCATCGATAACTCAAATAGCTTTACTTTTTTATATGTTCGAATTTCAAATATACACATATTCGGATCTATGACATGGATAGGAAAAAACAATCAGAACTTGTTTAGTTGTTTGTGCTTAATATTCGTACGTTTAAATTTGACAAAACAATGCTGTGGAAAATTTGACAACAGGCAAGAGCCTAACGGTCACCAGACACAGACAGAATCGTACTTAGTAGCTTTTTACTATGCTACTTAAAATTCCGAAGATACCCTTACATTATTTCATCGTCATTGGTACAAGAGCTAGGATATACTCTCTCCATTTCGTTTTAGTTGTCATTTAAGGTTTTTTCACACAAATTAAGAAAAATATTTAATTTTCTGTTTTACCTTTTATTAATATATTTTATAAAAAAATTCATTGGCCAAAACATTAAAACAGTAAGGATAAAACTGGAATTTTGATCAAATATTTGCATTGAAAACCTAAAACGACAACTATTATGAAACAAAATTTAAATCCTAAAACGACAACTAAATTTAAACTGAAACGGAGGGAGTAATAGTTGGAAGGGTATTTAAATATTCGTAATCGGCTAATCCCATGTGTTTAAGAAATGTAACGCATTCAGTTTTGTCAAAAAGCATTTATACATGTGTTACTCTTATTATAAAAAAGAAAAAAAAAAGTCAATACGGACTACAAATTTTTCAGTAACTGAAATATAGTAATCTCTGGTACAATACTCTGAATGATTGTTCTACCAATATGGCTATATATGAATAATAATTTATTAATAATGTTATAAGCTAGTTAGTTGCTAATACGTGGTATGCTAATATAGATATAAGATAACATGGTTTTGAACTTGTGATGCAGTTTATATTGTCCCAATTATTTTCAATGTAAAAACACCATATTCTCTTATTAAAGACAAATAAAAGAACTTCATCAAAACAAAAACGACTATCAATTTAATAACTTTACAGTTATTTTAATGCTTAAGGCATCTTAATTCTTAAAGTATCATCAATAAATATATTATATGAAACCAAGAGCATAAAATGAAAGAGATTGACCGACACAAATTAACGTTAATTTGCTTTTTATTCATATAGTACCAAGCAAACAATATATTTATTTACGAAAAGAAAAATTAATCAAGCGATTTAGTTATTATTATTTATTTTAATTTAAACCAAATATCTCGGTAGAAAAATAACAGCTCATAGCTCTCCCTCACTCCCCTCTCTCTCTCTCTCTAGCTCGGCAGATTTTTCGTCTGCAAGAAGAGAAAAAAAATCCAGAGAGAACGACAAAATTAGGAAGAGACATCATAGAGGAGAAATCAAAACCAACGAAGAAGAAGAAGAAACCCTGATTAGGTCCCGAAAATGGAGTATGAGAAATCTCCCACTGCTACTACTTTCTCTAGGAAGATTAGTGGTAATCGTAGCCATAGTCTTAGCTTTAGTGCAAATGCCGTTTACGACGGAGTTTTTTCTTCTCCGGCGAATTCGAAATCTCCTTTGGTTGATTACGGCGAGATTTTCCGAGGTTCCGGTCCTTCTCCGTCTTCGATTCCGTTTCTGGATGTCCCGGAGCTGAACGTTGGTAAGGTTAAGGTTGATGTTCGGAGTTCTAAGCTCGATTACTCTTCCGTGTTTGGAGGCTTTGGAGCTTGCGATTTCGCTGTTACTCCTAAGGAAGTGATCATCAAGTCCGAGAAGAAAACCGCCGTTACTGAGGATAACAAAAGGTACAACTCCTCTACTCATTTCTCTGCTTAGATCCTATGATTTTGGTTTTGTGAATGAGGTTTTGCTGGAGACATCTTTGATAAAGTAGTTGAACACTTTTGATGTTGGATCTCTCTGTTGGCTTATTTCTCCAATGTGTAGGAATCGTAGGAAAGGTGGAAATTCTTCTGATGTTCCTCTTTGCAACGAGGGGAAAAAATCACCTGAAGTGGTTAGGATGAAGCACTCTGATATATTACATCACCAGACGGTTCCTCGAAATGAGAATGGGACTACTCATCTTACTCAGGTCCTCACTATGCCTGGTCCTAGTCCGACTCAAGCGGTTGATAATACGAGTTTGTTGCAGAAGATTGAAAGTAAAACTCCTATTCCAACAGCTGAGAAGAAGCTGCCATGTAGCGAGGGTCATGAGGAAGTCAAGGCTTCTAGAAATCGGGGTTCTAAAACTGAGGTCGATTTCGAGAACAGTTTTGCTCGAAATGGATGCAGTACGCGTGATAACTCCACGTCCAAGACCGATTCTAACGGTGGACATCAGGATGTGAAACCACCTTCAAGCACCGATTCTAATGCTGGACATCGGGATGTGAAACCACCTTCAAGCGTGCAGCCTACTTTGGATGGTGAAAATGGAGCTTCCGAAAGATTATCAGGTTTAGATTCTGGGCCTTCAGAAAGGTTTCAAACTGAAGATGCTGATTCTCCAAGTTCACCTCCATACTTCGATGCTGAAACAGATGCAAATTCGGCTGCCGCTGAGTCTTCTGCAGCACTGAAAAAGGCTATAGATGAGGCACAAATAAGAATGAATATTGCAAAACAAATGATGGATAGGAAAAAGTCAGGCTTTCGCAGTTGTGCAAAACTGAAATCTTGTGATGACCCTAAAATTGAGAATAAAGGGGACACAAAGGTTGAAGGAATTACAGAAGAAAGCAGATACAACAATTCCCAGATTCTCGGTGAAATCGTGAAATATTCTGAACAATCATTTTCAAACGAGGGAGATCAGCATGCTAAAAGAGCGCGGAAGCTGTGGGGAGTTCCTGAAGGACTTTTAAAATCAACTTCAGACCATAAGCCAGAAGAGTTAGACGAGCAAGATGTGATAAAGCAAGAAGAGGAACAAGCAAGAAGAGGTCGAAAACACTGGGAATTACCCGGAGGGATATTCAAATCAGTTATGAATAGTATGCAGCAAGAGCCAGAAAACCTTGCACCAGCCAAACCTGAAACTGATACGAAACAAGAGGTGCAACCATTAACTGAGAATCCCTTCTATACATTCGGACAGCTTGGCAGTAAAATAAAGTGTGTTGTTGTAGAGGCTTTCACGGGGAGCAAGGTTTCACAAAAAGATGAGAAACAGGTTACAGAGAAGGAAAATTCTACCCTCACTCAAATGGTTCAAGGTGAGGAAAGTGACTCAAAAGAGATGCTAGCTGGTATTCCAGTCATGGAAACATATTTAAGGGAAGTGGAAGAAACCCCGCAACAAACTGAGAGTAAGAGCGAAATTAATATTGAAGAGAAGTCTGAATCTACAATATGTACTTTCACAGAAGGATCTTCTCAGATTATGGAGAAAGAAACAGGATGTCAAGTTAAAAGTGCTTGTGAGTCCGAAGGTGGATGTGGCGTAAAAGATTTCCAAGAAAATTCTAACCAAACTTGCAATGTTCTAGATCAGGAAAGTGAGAAGGAGATAGTCTCTGAGCCACAAGAGATGTTAGTTGGTCCTGATGATACCAAAACATATATACGGGAAGTGGAAGGAATCCCAACACCGAGTTTGAATAAAACTCAGTCCGATGATAGTGTTGGAGCTATGGTGTCTTTTAACAGAGAAAATATTTCTGAGCCAGAAAACGTAGATGAGGTGCAAGAGACAGTGCACAAGGTTCCCAGGCGAAGAAGAGTTTGGAAGACCTCTGAAGACGTCTATAATATGATAAAGGCCCCGAAGGGAAGCAACAGGCCCTGGCAGCTAGAAAGTGCGGAAAATGAAACCACAGCGATGTCCTTTCATGAGGAAGGTGTAAGGATCCATCATGCTAGCGAGGAAACAGAAAGCACATCTGGACAAGCGAGTGATTCAGGATTGCAAGAAAATTGGACCGTTCTTAAACAGATGTTTAGGCAGATGTTTCAGACAGCGGATACTAAGGGAGAGGATGAAACTTACTGCTTAGTGGAATCTGAAAAGGGGCATCTTGATATCCATCGAAAAGCTCAAGAGAAATATGAACAGGATGAGGTGGAGACAGTAAGAACGAATTTTGAAGACTATGCAAATACCAGAGAAAATGAAGACTTGGAAACGGTACAAGAAACATATTGTAGAAAAGAGGATGGTAAGGTAGAAGTGCAAGGTAAAACGTCTTTGGTCCGTGAACTGATCGGAGAAGAGCTAGAAATGGCTAGCCTAGAAGAGGAAGATGTGCAGGAAGAATCTGAAGAAGCTAGCTGGGTTCAAGGACTCTCTGAACTTAATGAGATAAAGGAGCATGCAGATTCTCATGCTGAAATGCTTGAATACGATCGAAGTGAAACAGATTCAAATAATTCTGGGGAGAGATTTGAGCAAACACAGGAACAAGCAGAAGAAACTAAGATCGATGGTAGTATAGATACTGACACCAGCAGGTCATCTTTTGAAATGAGACAAGGTGATTCATACATTGAGGAGGTTGGCATTGAGCAAGATCTCAGTGATCAATTCCCTGAAAAAGCCAGTGTTGTCAGTAGCACGGAAGAAAACATTGAAGAAATAGATTCTGATTCGATTCAAAGTGGTTGGAGTGTTGTAGAGGATGACGACAGATCACTGCAGGATGGAGGGGCAGGTCAGGCAGAAAGTAAGCCTGACGAATTGGAGGAAACCAAAGAAGAAAGTGCTGAAATGAAAACAAGTCTTGGTGTAGAGAGAAATGGAGATAAGACAGAACTAGAGCACCGGTTTGAGTGTCAAGAGAATGAAACAGATAGAAGCAATGTGGAGGCAGCAGAGACAGTTGAGGAAAATCTGAAAAAGAAAGATAAAACAAGGGAGAAAGAGAGATTTATGGTAGAAAGAGCTATTCGTGAAGCCCGCGAAAGGGCATTTGCGGATGCTAGGGAAAGAGCAGGAAAAATGAAAGAAAATGAGGGAGAGGAGAGTTGTCGATCATCTATGGAAGAAGAGGGAGATGCTACTTCTGATATTGGCGCAGCAACAGATGGAAACATGAAAGAAAATGAAGGAGAGGAGAGTTGTCGATCATCTATGGAAGAAGAGGGAGATGCTACTTCTGATATTTCACAAAACAAAGCAGAGACAGTTGAGGAACATCTGAAAAAGAAAGATCAAACAAGGGAGAAAGAGAAAGAAAGAGAGAAAGAGAGATTTATGGTAGAAAGAGCTATTCGTGAAGCCCGCGAAAGGGCATTTGCTGATGCTAGGGAAAGGGCAGGGAAAGCTGCACTGGAGAAGGCAAAGGCAGGAGCCCACCGTAAAGGGACTGCTGAGGTTCCAAGGAGATCAGAGAAGGGATCTGTTGAGGTAAATGATAAGTTATCATCAGCTGAGAAAGCTTCAATGCAAGCCAAACTCAGAGCAGAGCGTGCTGCTGTAGAAAGAGCACTCACTGAGGCCAGAGAACGTGCCATGGAAAAAGCCTTGTCTGGTAAGTCTGCTGCTTCTCAAACAAAAAGTTATGGCGGCAGCAAGTCATTTAGCTCTTCTGGTGAAAGACGAGGCTCCTCATCTTCTGTGAGTTTCGACCCCCTATTTTCTCATGTATATTCTCCTTTTAACAGCTCTCATGTAATATTGTGATCCATGAAATCCTTTAGCAGGGTGCGGAGAACAAAAGTTCAGGTCCTTCCAATTCTTCAAACCAGACTGGTATGTCTCTGTAGATATATATAATATTATATATTATTGTATCCAAGTTTTTGACCTATACATTTGATTTTGCATGATGAAGCCAAAGGAGAGTCAATCCAGAGATGTAAAGCTAGATCTGAGAGACACCAGAGAACATCTGACCGCGCGGTATGTACACCTTCTGTTCATCTGTATCTTATATAATACTATAATTTCTCTGCTTAAAACATATTGTTTGATGTCATAATTCCAGGCAGAGGCTCTTGCAGAGAAGAAACATCGTGATCTTAAAGCCCAGAAAGAGCAGACAGAGAGAAATGTACTCACATAGACAATACTCATTATCATCAGAAAATTCTCATAAATAACATTTTTGAATTTAGTTGTACTAAGCCGCCTTTTTCTCTGATTGAAATTGTAGAGACTCGCGGAAGCTCTTGATGCTGATGTCAAACGGTGGTCAAGTGGAAAGGAAAACAACTTGCGGGCATTGCTATCAACACTCCAATATGTAATTTGTTTTCCCCATATGTCCATAGCTCTTACCTCATTAATGGATTAGGTGATAAGTCTTAAACAATTGTTCTGTGATTTGCAGATACTTGGAGGAGAGAGTGGATGGAAACCGATTCCTCTCACTGATCTTGTCTCAAGTGCTTCTGTGAGAAAAGCCTACCGAAAGGCAACTCTTTACGTTCATCCTGACAAGCTTCAACAACGTGGTGCATCCACACAGCAGAAGTACATTTGTGAGAAAGTTTTTGACCTTCTCAAGGTTTGTCTTTAACCCTTCAGTATAAAATTATTTCCAGTTGATTGAGTTACCTCCATCTGCAAATCAGTCATTAACCGGCTTTTGCTGATTCTCCAGGAAGCATGGAACAAATTTGGTGCAGACGAACGATAAGTAAGATGGTGTGACACTTTGGATCTTCCTTTACCCTATTATCAGAAGTCACTCTGCAAATCAGAACCAAGCAGCGTAAGAACCTAAGTTTACAAGTACAGGATCAAGCTATGGTATGGGAGGAAGACAGATCTAGAGATGTAGTAACTAGTTATAAATATTTATATCCATATGGGTCATATATATAAAAGAAGCTCATTCATATTCCTAGCTAAACCAGCCACACATTCTCATCGCCGCTTCACATATTTTCTGATTCAAGATCTTATCAGACAAATCTATCGTCGGAATGATCCCACCAAGTTCCACCATTAAGATCTTTCTCCAAGCTCTTGGTAGGAGGAGAGATGGAAGTTGAAACAAATAGGTTACCTCTACTTTCAACACAACCCTTGTCTAATGTTATAAACAAAAAAGTCCTCCAATAGAATTTCCTACTCACCAAAGACATTCCCTGTCTCTTATAAAGTAGTTGACTTCGAAAAAGCCGTTTCATGTAAGATGGCAAAAATTAAAAATAAAGACCTGATTCATTTGAGACAGGCTAATGAGCTTAAACAAACACCCAGCAGGGAAAAGAAATTGAAGAAACTGCTCTACAATGTAGGATGAAGACAGATCGAGAGATGTAATACCCAATATAAATATTGATAACCATGGGTCACATATATAGCTCATTCATATTCCCAGCTGAATCAGCCACAAATATTATTCATCAAGGTTTCTCAAACTAAGGTTAATAAATACTAGTACATTATTAAGTCGAAGGGTACACCAGCAAACCGCATGAGACAGCTAAGATAACAAAGGGGTTTAAAAGCCAAGCAAATGAAGCATTATTGCATTTTGGGCATGCATGCGATTCTCCGCCTGTGGAAAGACAATGGAATAAGGAGCCTCCACGACTCCATTAGTCACCTCCACTCCTCTTTCTGCAGGCAAACAATGCATGAAATAGGCTTTTGGACCCGCCAACTTCATAAGAGCTTCATCCACCTGCAATTGAACACAATATGTAAACGTGAAGCCGATCATTGTACCAAAACTATGCCAGATAAAACTTGTTACCTGGAATCCTTGGAATGCTTTACGGCGAGCTTCGGCTTCATCCTTTTGCCCCATGCTGGCCCATACGTCTGAGTACACAACATCAGCTCCAATAACAGCTTCTTTAGGATCATTGGTGATCTCTATCTTACTTAAGCCAGCTTGCTTTGCCTTTGAAACTCTTTCTTTGTCTGGTTCATACCCTTTTGGGCAAGCGCAGACAAAATGAAAAGGAATAACAGATGCCAATTCTAACCAAGAGTGTACCATGTTGTTCCCATCTCCAACATACACAATCTGAAGTTTGTTAAATCGGTGTTAGTATAAATAACACTTTTTCATGTATGCAAAAGAATAATGAGATCATTACACAAGCTGTGCTTTAAAATGGACAATTGAATGTTGAGATTTCATGCACTAATCTTGGTTTTGTTTCAGTTTCCTTCATGCATTAAGTGAGGTAGATGTTCGTTTGAATAACTTGCATCTACAGCCTAACCTTTTTTTGACAACATATGAGGAGGAAAATAGATAATAGCATGCAGTCGGCGAAATAGTTAACTAACCTTTGTCCCTTCGACTTGACCGATGTGCTCAATTATTGTGAGGGCATCAGCCATGATTTGGCAAGGATGGTTATGATCTGTCAGACCATTGACAACTGGTACACTCGAGTAGTTAGCCAAATCAAGGATGTCCTGCAAAAGAAGCGGATTTAAGTTTGGTCATTCAGCTTTCTGAAATTACAAAGGAGTGCAAACATAAATCAAATCAGGTGAAAAAAGGAATATTCATGTCACTAAGACTAAGAATGCAGTTATCTTTCTGAGATTAGAACAGGCCATAAAAATGTTTGTACATTTCCAGTGTTCCTTTATTAATCAATCAAAAACTCACCAGCATACCTGATGAGCAAATACACGAGCCATAATGATGTCATTATAGCGTGAGAGAACACGAGCAACATCGCGAGTTTCCTCCCGCTTACCCATCTGAATGTCATTGGGTCCTAGATATAACGCATGGCCACCAAGCAAGAAAAACCCAGTCTCAAAAGAAACCCGAGTCCTCATGGAGGGTTTAGCAAAGATCATAGACATAGACTTCCCTTTAAAAGGTAGATAATTTCTCTCCCCTGATTTAAGCAAGGCCTTAACCTCTGAAGCCTTGTCTAAAATCTTTTTTATGGTCGCTGTGTCAAAATCATCTATGGCCAGAAAGTCTTTCAGGTCAGACTTTCCTGCAAAACAACAAGCAAAATAGGGTTTTAGTTAATAATTTTGACTTGAGACAAGAAGAAGATACAGTTTTATCAGATGATCAAGACCACCATGCTTTCAATAAATGAATCGGATGACTAATCATTAGAGAAGCTATATGAGCTTAATCCAAAAAAGGAACCGCAAAGATTAATCTCACAATCCTATGGAAATGAATGAAAGCAGTAAAAGTATCAAACTTGCGTAGTTTCTGAATCAATAGTGGCAATAATGAGCCACATTTTCTCATTTTCGAATGCTAAAATCAAAATCCGCATACCAACATGCAAATTATCCTCAGAAAAAAAAGATAAAAGAAAGGATTGTTGCAAGAACGAATTTCATAAACAAATTCTCATCCTTGGGGAAATTTCCGAAACAATGAAATGGAACCCTAAAGCCCAAACCTTTGGCATCGGAAGTAGAAGAAGGCGAAGTGACGGAGGAGGCTTGACAAGAAACACGAAGGCGAGGGAGGGCCGGAGAAGGGAGTGAAACGGCGGAGAATCTCCGGAGAGTAGTGCCGGGGAAGAAGGAGGATGACGAAGAAGAGAAGGAAAGAGCAGGTGATCGAGCCGTCGAAACATGAGAAGCCATTGCAGCCGCCATCGTCTGAATTCGGAGTTGTTGACTGACTCTGTGAGTGACACTGCGCTTTACCTTTCTTTCTAAGAGAGACCTCCCCGATGGCATTTCAGTTATTGGGCCTTGTGGAGGCCCATTTTCATTTCGATTTATTTATTTGCCCTAATTTGTGGTGTGCAAAAGATTCTTGTTTTTTGCAATGCCTTTGTTTCATCTTGATTGATTGATTCTGTTGTGGTTTATTCTTGTTCCTTAATGTGAGTGAGAATAATGAAAACCGAGAAGATTAGTTGTTGTTTATGTGCACATTGCAGAAATCTTGTTATTAATTATTTTGATGTTAGTTGTTGTTTTTTATAGCAGAAACCGAAAATTAGTTCTCGGTAACTGTACATGGGAATTGTGCTTCATCTAGGTTGGGAAAAGGCTGCGGCTCTGAAGCAACAGCTTGATGCTTCTACGAGCAAGGTTTCATCCCTTGAGGATCGAAACAGTCATCTTGATAGTAGTGCGTGCGCTTAAGGAACTCTGGCAAGGAAGAGAAGAGCAAAATCAGAAGATCGAAGAAGCTATAAACAATCAATGCAAAGAGTGGGAAACTAAACTTGAAGCCTGAATTGAGGAGCTCCAAGCTATACAAGACGTTACTACTGCTTCGGTCCACGAAGACCTTTACCCGAGACTTGAGGCTTTTAGTGATAATGAAATGCAGAGTCCCTCTGAGAAGACTATTGGGAAAACTTCAATGGAAAAGCTGGCTGCTCTGCCGCATTCTGAACCTGGAAGATAACATTCAGAGAGTAATAAGGAATTAGAGAAATCTAATGCTCAAGCAAACCAACTAAAGCATGAACTCAAAACCTCGCTTCACAGAAAAGTAGAGATGGTAGAGGTAGAGAAATTGCATGTGGAGATGGGCTTTGAATGGATCCAAAGGCAGAGTCGGTTAAAGGAGATAGAAGGGAAGTTATCTGAGATGAAAAAACTAGAAGCAGAGAACCAGGAACTAGGGCTGTTGTTGGGTGAATCAGGAAAGCAAATGGAGGATCTTCAAAGACAGCTAAACAAAGCACAAGTCAGAACTAGAGACTAGAAGAGCAGAGAAGCTGGAACTGACCATATGTCTGAATGGAACGAAAAAGCAGCTTGAATGAGTGCCACATTGAATCTTGAGGAGGATCTTTCCCCATGAATGCTGAGAAGAATCGATAGACTCTAAGATCTGGATCTCTGCGAAAGAGACTTGGAAATTCCATTCATGAACATAAGTGTAGAGGACACATAAACAAAAAGGAGTCTCTATCTATATACATCAGAAAGTAAGGCTAAGCCAAAACAGGATTTGAGATATTTGTCGATAGAAATAATGGAAAGAACAGATAATATTTTTTCTTTCTATTATATCCATTCAGATTCTATTGTTAAGGTCAAATCAAAATATACACTATCTGTTACCGTTGTGATCAATTTCCCTTTTTTTGCAATCCAAATAAATTAAAAGGAAACAGCCAAAATTGTGGAAAAAAGGAAACAACAAAACACTTCAAAAGAAAAGGAAACAAGCGACCCTTTTCCTTTTATTTTCTTCTGAAGAACCTTTCCTTATAAATACCCTTTCGTCTCTCTCAGAAATCAAAATCATTCATTCTTCTTCTTCGAAAGTAAAATCATTCATTCTCTTTGTAATCTTTCTTCTTTTTCTTTTTGATACGTGTCGAACAAACTTTGCCAATGTTTGATCGCCAATCTCGTGAAGCCGATGATCCATGTAGAGCCACTCTCTGCAACCAATTAATCTTGAAGAAAAATTTGAGTCACCAAATCCAGGTTTGTTGCTTTCTCAATTTTCTTTTTAATTATTTTTTTTTCATTAAAAACCAATCTAATAAATAATAATTTTCTTAATTTGACTAAGTATAAAAAGAAGATTTAAATTTAAGTGTTAATTTTCAATTACGTTGAAAACCAATCGAACTTAACATCCGGTTAGAATTTCTTTAGGTCGGTTAGATGTGTTAAGTTCAATTTGTTTACACGTAATTCAATCTTAACATTTTTTTTTTTATATTTCCTTTTAAATAAAACATGTTTTATACATTTTAACAACTAATATTTTAACAACTAAATTTGAAGTATAAAAAAATATTTTAAAAAGAAGATTTAAACGTAAGTGTTAATTCCCAAATACGTTGAAAACCAATCGAACTTAACATCCGGTTAGAATTTCTTTAGGTCGGTAAGAGGTGTTAAGTTCAATTTGTTTACACGTAATTCAATTTTAACATTTACTTTTTAGATTTTCTTTTTTAATTAAAAACGTTTTGAAAATTTTAACAACTAAGATTTTAATAAATATTTTTGAGCTTATCTAAAATTTTAAGTAGAAAAAATATTTTAAAAAGAATATTTAAACGTAAGTGTTAATTTTCAATTACGTTGAAAACAAATCGAACTTAACATCGGGTTAGAATCTCTTTAGTTCGGTTAGAGGTGTTAAGTTCAATTTGTTTACACGTAATTCAATTTTAACTTTTTAGATTTTCTTTTTTAATTAAAAACATTTTGAAAATTTTAACAACTAATATTTTATATAAACATTTTTGAGCTTATCTAAAATTTTAAGTATAAAAAAATATTTTAAAAAGATGATTTAAACATAAGTGTTAATTTTCTATTACGTTGAAAACAAATCGAACTTAACATCCGGTTAGAATCTCTTTAGGTCGGTTAGAGGTGTTAAGTTCAATTTGTTTACACGTAATTAAATTTTAACATTTCTTTTTTAGATTTTCTTTTTGATTTAAAATGTTTTTAACTTTTATTTTTGGTTTTATAATTAAGTTTTAAGATATTTTTAAAATAATGTTTTTCGCCTTTTTATTTTGGATTTAAAACTAAATTCTAAGGGTTTTCTTTTAAGGGGTTTTTGTAGTGTGTATTAAGAAAACTTTCAAATTTTGTGGGAATGTTGTTGTAGTTAAAGATGATGTTCACTTGGTAAGAAAGAATTGATTTTACGAATTCTCTTGTTACAGTTTCTGTTATCTGCATTGAAATTATTGTTGAAAAAAAAACAAAGTTCAAACTTTGCATTTTGTGGAGACACTACATTGGTGGAACTAATGGTCAACTTGTATTTGCCACAAATCTGTTTGTGATCATAAAATCACTCACAAATGTTAATGACAAAAAAAAAAAAAAAAAAAAAAAAAAAACAACTTTTCTGCGCCAATTTGAGACATAAGCCTATACGTAATTGTTTCAATGACTCTTTTCATATTGTTAAACAAAGGCATCAGGCGGCGCTTGCTCCGGTATCTGAACACCAAAAAAATCTTAAGATTATAGTTTTGGCAATCAAATTTTGTAATCAACTTAAAGACTAGTTTTGAGCAATTTACCTCCCCTGGATTCCATTTCTCCTTTAACCAGATGCTACTATCAACAGGATCACCTATTTGCAGCTCGGTTCTGCCGCAAATGATTCAAATTAGAAACATCATAGTATGTTTTGACGATCTATTTGTCACATGTTCAACAACGGTTTTTCGTTGTGGAAATAGAATGGGGACTTACCCGGAAGATGTATTTGTTGTGTCTACAGCAGGAGCAGTGAAAGATGCAACAGGGACATTGAAGTTGAATGCGGCCTGATTGTTCTGGGAAGTGTTGGGAGCCGGCGCTGAAGTTGATGGACCAAAGATGTTATTGTTTTGTGGAGTTGTGGCGAGTCCAGGTCCAGGTCCAAATGATGCTGGTTTGAATGTTGTTGATGGATGGGTTTGGAAACCAGAGGGACCTGTGATCATTTGCAAAAGAGGTTTTAGATGATGTGGAGTCTTGGCCTCTGAGCAAAGTTTAACTTTAGTAGTACCTGAAGGAACAGGTTGAGGAGTGTTGACGCTGAAAGCATTTGGTTGTTTATTAAAGCTTGCAGAGGCATTCGGAGGTCCTGATGAACTATGTCGAGGAACAATGGGAACCGAGAGTTACTTTATGAAGGCAACACAAACTTATTGGCATATGAAAAAAATGGATAAAGCAACCAAAAGTTGATACCTGAGACCACCAGCATTGGTATTGGGGAATGCAGTTTGTTGATTATTCGATTGTTGATTAAAGCTTGCAAAGGGATTCGGAGGTCCAGATGAACTATACAGATGAATAGTTGGCCAAAGAGGAAAATGGAAACCAAGAGTTTATAAACGTAACACAAACTTGTAGGAATATGGAATATGGAGAAAGCCCACAAAAGTTGGTACCTGACTCCACCAGCATTGGTATTGGGGAAGGTAGTTTGTTGATTATTTGATTGTTGATTGAAGCTTGCAAAGGCATTCGGAGGTCCAGATGAACTATGTCGAGGAACAATGGAAAACCAAGAGTTAGTTAGTTTATGAAGGCAACACAACCTTACTGGAATATGAAAAATGGAGAAAGCCCACAAAAGTTAATACCTGAGTCCACCAGTATTGGTATTGGCGAATGCAGTTTGTTGATTAAAGCCAGAGAATCCTGGAGGAGAGGAATTGATCTGACCAGTCGGTGGGAAGATACTAGGAGTGGTTGCAGCAAACGGGCTTTGATTGGCGGTAACAGAGCCTTTGTATGGATTCCGCAGAAAGTTTTCAAACTCAGCTATTTTGGAGTTTTGCAGATTCCTCTCCCTCTCAACCTATATGATGCACCATCATAGGCCAGGAAAAGAGGAAATCGACTTATGTCTTATGAGTATGAAATGAAAACTAGTGTAAGTATAACAAACATAAGAAAGGTTAATCTCACAATCGACTGTAGAGGTATCCCTCGTTTAGCCTCTTCGTATGCCATTGCACGTAGCTCTTCATAGCTGATATCACCCGTAACATCACATGGAAAACTAGAAAAAAAAAAAAAGAAGAAGATACAAAAGATCAGACACGTTATAAAGAATGGGTAAAGATCAAGGATGCTGAACCAAATGAAGCAATACATACTATTTCCAGTGGCCGTAGCATGTGAGCTTCCACATGGGTCTCTCATTTTTAAAATCGTCTTGCATTACCCGCTTACACGCAGCAGGATCTGTGCATCTTTGCATAGTAACCAAGAGAGAAACAGTTAATTTCCAAAGAAACAAACGGCTAAAAGGATGATATAAATAGAAGAAGCATATGCAAACTTATAATATATATACTCACTTATGGTCTGCCGGCTGCGTCTGTTTACCAGCCTGCTGCGCAGCAGCAGCACCACCCCCACCAGTAGGTGTAGAAGCCGTTCTTGACCATGTATTCTCAAAAGGCTGAGTTTGCAAAAGCATCATCATGTCACCATTCATTCAACAGGCAAGATGCTTTCTTTTCTTTAAGAAGAGGCACCATTTTTCTCATCCAAAAGCCGAAGGATAACTTGCATCATTCTATCAAACCAAATACTTGCAGCTTAAAAGAAGAAAAACCAATAAAACCTGAAATTGATTCGGTCTGCTGGAACCACCACCTTGTACACCAAATCCAAAAGGATTCGAACTATTCTGTTGCTGCTGTTGTTGTTGTGGCTGTTGTTGTGTACCAAAGCCAAAGGGATTATTTGGCTTAGCTTGTTGTGGATGAAGAAATCTACAATTTTCCCCATACCTACAACTGCAAGAACAACACAAAGGACGATGAATCCAATAATTAGGTGTCTAAGCTTCTACTATCACTAATCATAACTTCAGAAGCAAATAATGGCGAAGATTAGGAGCGATCAAAGTCAATTAACTGTTTGATACATTTAGATTTGAGCTCAATACACATCGTTTTCTACACATTGCTACCTTCGCACATCGATTGTTTTCAAATTAAACCCAGAATATAGAACACGAAACCTAAATTTTTGCAATTGAAACGAACTTCAAAAACTCTTAGAAAACAACACACAAGCAACAAATTGAGTCAAAACAAACCTAGAACAGATGAAGAAGATGATGAAGAGAGAATTTTACCTGCCACGCTGAAAATTTCTGCACAGTTCCTTCCTCATACTCGCTGCTAAAAACTTCAACTGTGTACGTATGTATTTGTATGCGTATATGTAATTTTGCTTCTGGGAAAAAATGAAGCGTTAGATTAACGAAGGAGGAGGTCTTTGTGTAAATTACCTTTTTACCCTAACATAACTTTGAAGTATATAGGGGTATAAACGTAAATCAACCAAAAACTTCATCATCCTCGTTCTCTTATCCATCGTTACTTGGATTCTTCACCAGGAAAATAGAAGAAGGCGAAAAATGGCGGTTTCTCTCCCGAACTCGTTTCTTCAGATTAACCCATGTGTTCCTTCTCTGGAATTGAGAAAGGTAAGCTCGAAATCGATCTCTCATTCCTCCCTCCTTCCCCAAAATCACTAAATTTGTTTGTTTTTTTTTTTTTTCCAAATTAGCCGGTTATGGCGGCAGTGAAAGGAGGAAAACAATCGGCGAGAAGAAGCAGCAATACGGTGGTGCAAATAACGTGTCGTAAGAAGGATTTGCATCCAGAATTCCACGAAGACGCGAAGGTATACTGCAATGGAGAGCTGGTGATGACGACGGGAGGAACAAAGAAAGAGTATGTGGTTGATGTTTGGTCAGGTAACCATCCGTTTTACCTTGGGAATCGTTCGGCTTTGATGGTTGATGCTGATCAAGTGGAGAAGTTTCGTAAGAGGTTCGCTGGGCTTTCTGAGATTATGGAGATTCCGGTGCTTAAAGGAGAAATCGTTATGCCTACTAAGAAAAGTAAAGGTCCTGGCAAAGGGAAGAAGAAATGATGAGCCAGAGTTTGTGTTTTTTTTTTTCTGGTAAAAACTTATATGCCTTTGAATTTGTTGTCTTTTCTATTGAATGCAAGTGACATCTATTTGTTTCATTGAGAGTGAGACTGAGAAATTGGAATTTGGTGCTCTGTGTTATCACTGGTCTTAGAGCAATGTTGTTACAAGTAGTAGTAGAAAGCTCAAGGACAAAGCTTTAGCTTGTGAGTTTGACATGAATTTAATATGGATAGAGATATACTGGTGAGAGTGACATAGCAACAATGAACCAGTAATTAATTCTTGTGTTCTTTTGGTTACAATTCGTATGGGGAATTGTATAAGTGTTCTTTTAGTTCTTGCAAAATGAAAGTTATGGCATGAACTTAATGACTAGTGTAATGTCTAAGTGTTGTGTTGATTGAGATCCTTTTTACATAGATTTGTAGCATGTCTTACCACGACAAAGTGGCGTAGTAATAGTGAGCAGTAAGCACAATCTTGAACTGTGGCCATACCGTATGAGTAGGGTTTGATTGAGAACAAAAAGACAAATATTGGCACTTGGATTTGCTGATTCGCGCAACTCTTCTAAATGGGTGCCTCTGTGGTCATTCCCAATACCACTGTATTTGTGTGACCCATATTTGAAGAGAAGCAGAAGACTCCAGCTGATTCAGAGGTTTTGCTTTTATTGAAGAGTGGAGAGTAGGCCTGGGCTTTCGGTTAACCGTTCGGTTATCGGTTGGGTCCATTCGGTTTCGGTTCTTTCGGTTTTAAAATTTAGTATCCATTCGGATATTATAAAATTTTGGTTCGGTTTCGGTTCGGTTCCGGTTGTTTCGGTTTTAAAATTTAGTATCCATTCGGTTATTTTGCTTAGGATATTTTTGGATATTTCGGTTATTTTTGAGTATTTTCGGATATATTTCAGTTATTTTCGAATATTTTAACTATTTTTACATATTTTTCAAGTATTTTTGATTATTTGGTCTATAAATAACTAATTATTTTGTATTTCGGATATTTGGGTTATCCGAAATATTTCGGTTCGGTACCGATTCGGTTACGGTTATTTTGGTTATTAAATTTACTATCCATTCGGTTATTTTCAAATTTTCAGTTCGGTTCGGTTCGGTTTTTTTCTTCGGTTTCGGTTCAGTACATTCGGTTCGGTTTATTTACCCAAGGCCTAGTGGAGACAGTAGAATTTGTGGGCCATTTAAGGCCCAATTCTACTCAGGTGGAGTCTTCTGCTTCTTTACTAAAGTGTACCTTGAAGGTTTAAAGTGGGCTTTTTAATCCGTTAGTATTAAGAACTGTGTGAAGGTTAGAAGTGGCCCAATCAACTGTACCATAAAATTGTGTTTTTAAAAAATTATTTTGGATTAGACGACTACTTTAAATATCTTAAAGCTCGAGAAGGTGTTCGAGGATAAACTAATGGTCTCCTGTTTCCTAGCATAAGAATGATGAAAGACGCTGTGTTGGGTTAGTTAAACTATACTCCCTCCGTTTCAGTTTAGTTGTCGTTTTAGGATTTAAATTTTGTTTCATAATAGTTGTCGTTTTAGGTTTTCAATGCAAATATTTGGTGAAAATTCTAGTTTTATCCCTACTGTTTTAATGTTTTGGCCAATGAAATTTTTTATAAAATATATTAATAGAGTAAAACAGAAAATTTAATGCTTTCTTAATTTGTGTGAAAAAACCTTAAACGACAACTAAAACGAAACGGAGGGAGTATGTCTTATTAGTTTGTTGATTATGTTGGAATAATACAATTTGTTGGATTAAATAGATTTTAATTTTGCTGGGACAGTGGGACAATACAATTGTTCGTTGCCTTTATTTGTCGAAAATAATGCGTTCGTTTGTTTGTTCGGGGACAGTATTCTGCTCTGTTAATATTGCCAAATCAGTCTTACAAACATTACTACTAGCTCCCTCAATTTTATAATACTTATGAATTAAGTTATCAACTTAATAATAATATGAAATGAATGGGCTTCTCATAGACTGATTGAGATAAATCCATTATCCATGTCTATGTAAATCAACTTATCCTCAATTATGCAGTCGAAGAATATTTCCTTGTAGATTGCATCGTTAAATTATAGTAAGTTGAAATATATTCCGTATATACTATAGTAAATTCAGTATCTTTAAGTGGATCAGTCACTTTATCTTCATTATATAGTGAAAATATTGTTTTGATAGCATAATTAATTAGTTATGGCAATTAGTAAACAAACTAATCATTGTTTTCATAGACAGGGGAGACAAAACTTTTTAAGATCAAAGTATTCTCTAGGTTCTTTTCTAAATTTTAATACTAAAGAAAACCAAAAAACAATTACAGTTTATATTGTGCTATTATTATTATTGGTTGGGTGTCCACATAATTATATAAAAAAAAAAAAAAACATAACTTGGAAAAAGCCAAACAATAATAAAATAAAATTACCTATCAAAAGGAAAAAAGAGTCATTAAATTTTAACTTATTGAGGATATATAAAAAGACCAGTGCTGTGATCGTATTTCCGTATCAGTGTGTCAGTGTATCTCTCATTTTCTCCAATCATATATTTTCGCTCATTTAACAAAATCGCTTCACTTTCCCGATTCAATTTTCCCGGAAAATATCACTTTCCCGTTTCATTTTCCCAGAATAAATCAAAATCTCCATCGTAATTAATTTCTCAGACCTTATATTAACATCAAAGCAAGCATTTATACTGTCTCTGTTTCAATTTCACAAAAAGAAAGACAAAAACAAAAAAACAGAGCGACTAAAAAAAAAAGAATGGTGAAGCCGTTCGAATTCCATGGCGTGGAGGCGGAGAAAGCGGAAGCAATGAGGAGATACAACAACCGTAGAAGCTTCAGGAACATTCTACGTTTAGCCGCCGTAGCTTCGCTGTGTTACTTATGGTTCCCGACGGTGGCGATTTCACTACAAACTGCCGGCGACTGGTTTTACCGGACCGGGGCGGTTTTTATAACCGATCGTTCCGTCGTCTTCGTCTTCGCTAACCTAATCGTCGGTTTACTTTTCTTTCTCTCCGGCGAGAGCAACAACGAGAGTAGTAGTAGTAGTAATGTTGAACCAGAACCAGATCTCTACGATCAATACACCTCTTCTTCCTCCGCCGTAATCGTAACCGCCGACGACGAGAAAGTGGTAGAAGATGATGATGATGATTTGCATAAGCAAATCGTTCCGGCGTTTAACGCGGAGGTTGAGGAGGCGGTTACGACAAAAGAAATTTATAGGAGGACGAAATCGGAGACATTCCGGCCGGTGATGGAGTATCAGAGAACAGAGTCGGAGAAAGTGGTGGAAGACGATGAATCGGAGAAGCGAATCGTTCCGGCGTTTAATCCGGAGGATGAGGAAGTGGTTTTGGATGAGGCTACTCGGGAGGTGGTTACATCACCGGGAATTTATAGGAGGACGAAATCGGAAACGAGGAAAGAGATAATCCGGCCGGTGATGGAGCATCGGAGAACGGAATCGGCGAAAGTGGTGGCGATTGATAGGCTGAGTAGTGAAGAGTTTCGTTTGAAGATAGAGAGTTTCATAATGGAGAAGAAGAAATCGCTTGTTCGGGAAAACGACATCGTTCAATGTCAAGTACTTGGGTCTAGACCTGGCCTCGTTGGTAGTACTGGCTATGGCTCGTGCTAGGCCTAAAAAAGCTGACTTGGAAGTAGAGAGAGGCGAAACACTCAAAAATGACTAAAGTTTGGTATTATTTTACTTTGGTTAATTTTTTAGGAACCTTTTAAAATTAGATGATGCTGGTGATATTTTTTTTAATTAGCTGGCTTGAATTTCATCTTGGATGGTTATGTTTTTCTTTTGGCACCACAATGAAATGAAATACGGAAATAGTAATTTTCTCTGTTATCAACTTTGTCACACAATCGGCCATTCTTTTTAGTAGTTTCAAAGACAATCAAATTAGTTTCAGACGAAGCGATGAGATTTTACGGTGGCTCTCATAGAGACCCAAAAGAGTCGATTATCCCATCGTGAATTGAAAGACTCGACCCAATGGACTACCTATGTTGTTAATCACATATTTTATGGAGTTAGCCTTGAATCAAGCTTAAATTTATAAAATAGAGACATTTTTCATCATGACTCATTCATAAACATAAAAGACCAAACAAAAAAAAAAAAAATTGGAGAAAAAATATGATAATTGCGAATTTGCTATAGGAGGCAAAGCAGAGACCGGAGTGATATAAATAAAAAGGTACTTTGAATATCAAACAGTCTTCTAAATTTCCCCCAAAAGTATAAATCTTTGCTTATGAGACCTAAATTTGGATATAAACATTGTTCTCTCTATAGGGGGTGGTGATACGAAATTACCAACCTACTCATATACCAGAGTACCACACCACTTCTCCTAACTCGCATAACTGGAAGCTCTCTTCAGTCTTCACCAGCACACCTTCTTTTTCTGTTTTTTTTTCAACAAAAATCACATAAAGAGTATTCCCTTAAAATATCAAAAAAAGATCACAAACTTATGCGTGGGTAAAAGAAATTAAATGATTTACCTTGTGATACTTCTCATCTTCTTCACGGTCTATGTAAGCCAAAAGATCATCTTGTCTCATTAAAGCCTCATGTAAAGCCTGAATCATTGAAGAGTGTTGGAGTTAATATACAAATACAAAAACAGTTGCTTTTCATATCAATTAATGAAAGAAATTTAACATGGAATTGAGAGATTTTTCTTTATACCTTTTTTGTAGCGATGAGCTCTGCTTCAAGTGCATCCACGCGATAAACAGCTGTGTTAAGCAACTCCTCTTTCTCACGAGGCATCTCATGTCGCTTCGAGTGCAGTGTTTCTACCTGTTTCTCAAGATCTCCTAGTCTGTTTACAACAGAAGAAAACACATTTCTCTCTGCCATTGTTGCAAAAGCCGGTGAAGGAGGACGAGACTCTCTAGCGTTTGGTCCATCACCTGAAGATTCAGACTGGGAGTGTACTTCATTCTGTGGCAGAGCCACAGATAAGAGAAGCGTAAACAAGTTAACGAAGAACATCATTAGCCACCTCCAGATATAAGTAACCGATCCTATTTTGCCCAAATCGGGTGTATACTCTGAACCTGCACCAACATATTCATTCCATTACAGTGAAACTTTGCGTTGATCTGATTTCTGATTTACATATCATAGTATTTAGGTTCCACAATTTTACCTTTTGAAGCCTTTGGTTTTTCATGGGCCATCCAAGCAACATCCACAACTTTGTCCACCACTGGTGAATCATACTCTGATGAATCAGTAGGATATGATATAGTATTGGCCCAAATCTGAAATTAATAAGGTCAGGTAATAAGCAAAGTAGTCTGAAACGCATACTGTGATTTTCACTTTCGTACAAGAAAGCTCTTACATCTTCACAAACAGGAGTCAGCTTGGGAACACGAATCTCTCTATTTACTTTTGGAGAAGCCATCTCTTCCACTTCAGACCCTGATTCTGCTGTCGAGGTGTCACTAACTTTTATCTGAGCCAAAGAGGACATTAGTGTTACAGTCAGATAGAAATTTTCAAAAACAAAAAACAAGTTTCGCATCTAAGTATAGAAGAGCTTTACCCCAGAAAAAGATGGCTTATCGCATGAGGACACACGGGAAAAACTGTTTAGAGCCGAATTATGCCTGCAAAGCGGTCCACCACTTTGAAGCATCTACAGGTGGGGGAGATCAGTTAGGTAACATTATTCTGTCTTGAGCTAATCTGATTAACCAAAACACAGTAAACAATAGGCTGTGGGAGATTGATTTTTACCTTTAATATCTCAGGGTCATTCCAGGGCCCTTTATCAGATCTCATACAACCACCTCGATCTGCACAGGTGCAAGTGCCACCAAGAAAATCTGGCAGCTGGCTGAAAAAAGTTCCAAATATGGTTAGGAAGTTAAATCATATTTTGGACTGATGTGAACCAAACAAGAGGATTGAGAAGTCTCTACCTTGCATCAATTATCTCAAGTAATTTGTTTTGGTACTTGTTACCAATGACCTATTACAACAACACAACGACAATAGTTAATACGATTCAAGATAATCTTTAGGATAATTTGTGGAAATGCATAAAAAGGGTAAATTTACATGAATCTTCGTGACCGTTTTTGGATCAAGAAATTGTTTCACTGTGGCCCAAACTAGCTTAAAACCAGAACCACCATTGATGATGAACATACGATGAAGTGTCTGCATATATATGAAATGTTACCTCACATTATCTTTTATTAAACTAATTTGAAAACACACATTTTGTTACAAAATCAATAAAAACCACCTCATACCTCAGGGTAGTTATCATTATCAATCTTTTGCAGCTGTATTATGAGATCCCTCGCAGGCTTAGAGAAATTCTTGAACCCCTGCAAAACACAATTTAAACAATTCTTAAGTAATAATATGCAGGACATTAAACACAACACTAAGGAAAATTAAAAGAATCTGATTTTTTGAAGTACCACGCCTTGGACGTCTAGAATTGTTGTACTAGAGTCAATGTGTCTCTTAGCAGCAATGCAGCAAGCTGGAAGCTTAATGTTGATAGTTTTTTCAAACTCTCGAACATGATACCTTATGAATCTTTCGGCCGTAGTGACTTGCATGAGCTTGGCCGGATCAACTAGTCCTAATCTTTCAATGTAAACAGGTCTTCCTTCTTTGTCAACACCATGATAACCATGAGGGTAGTATTTCATAACTTCATCAAACTCTTCAAATTCAAAATCCTATGAACACACATATTGATTTGAGATTAAAACCATCACATGAGATTATAAGTAACATATTGAGATTATAAAAAAGAACATCTAAATCACCTCGAAAATGGTGTCAGTGCCAAAATCTTTTCTCCATTGAATCATATTACTCCACATTAACTTGGTTTTCCCAATATCAAATTTCCTAGCTTTCAAGAATCTAACAGAGAACAAGAACATGAGAATCATCATCATCAACAATGAATTGAGAGAGAGAGTGACAAAAATCTGACCTCAACATAATGTGATAATCATCAAGTGTAGGAGGAAGCAAATTCTCAGAGACGAGTAAATTACGGAATTCATCAACAGCTCGCAATTCCTCAACATCGTGAATATCTTCAATGGTAAGAGAGAAATTACGATCACTGCTTCTTCTCCTGCTGCTACCTTTCTTCTTCAACGAATGTCTGAGTTTGCTTGAAGCTTTCGCAGCTTTCTTCTTGAAATTGAAATTCCCGATTCTTGTTTTCTTCTCATCCTCAGATACTTCGATATCTGATCTCCGTTCTCTTCTCTCATCATTGCTTGAACATCCTTCAAAACCTGAAACCAACAAAAAAATCTCAAACAAAAATTCCCAAAATCTAACATCTGCGATAAAACTCAAAGCCTATAGTTCTCAAAATCAATCTAACAAACCAGAATTGCGTGATTCGATAATCGAAGAAAGGGGATGATAAATTTACTCACAAGGCCTCGCGAATCGATCAAGAGAGCCAGACATGAGGAATCTCCAAGAGAAGAATCCGAAAATCGCGCAGCCGAGAGAGAGAGAGAGAGAAGCGATTCTTCTCAGAGAGAAAATTGAAAGAGACGTAAGAGGGAGAAGTAAAGTGATGATGATGGGGTTTTATAATAATAATTAGTCTTTCTTTAATTACGTTTTTGCGTTACAACGTAATTTGGACTAAGATATGGTTTTTCATTAATTGTGGCCGGAAACACAACGGTATACGCAAACACCGTCGGTGATTTTTTTCATCTTTGGCTTGCTCTGTTTTCTTTCTAAATGTTTCCAGTAACTACTATTTTTTGAGGATTTTTATTTTAGTTTTTAACTAGGTGAGTTCCCGCGCGCGCTAAATACCGTTACTAAATACCGTTATAATTATTTCTTAATTATATAAATTACTTAATAATAAAATATCGATTGATTTTATTATAAATTTAGTGAGACGAATACTTACTAACTACGAGATAATAGTTGTTTACCTAAACATATTCAAAATCTGAGATTTTTAAGTTTAGTGAGATGTTTTTTTTTTTTTGTTGATTAAAAAAGTTTAGTGAGATGTTTGAATAAAACAAATGTTGGATTTGTAATATAAAATAACAAGTTTTGTTATAAATTAGGCTTATTTTTCTATACATATATGAGTTGCTTATGTACCGTTTAAAATCACTATTCATCTAGTCCAAATTAGGTTTTTTTTTTTTGTCAAAATCCAAATTAGGTTTATTTGCCAGATATTTGACTTGTTTATGTACCATTAGTTACATGATTTTTTTTTTTAAAAAAAAAAACTCTTATTGATTGTAAGTACATTTTCCCTTATTTATTTTTTTGTCTTTCTTAATAACATTGACTAATTTTTTTCCGTATTGAGAGCCCAATTTTGACAAGTTTGTCAGTTTGTCACACTATCTGTCCTACGAAACGTATCTTGCGAGATATTTTATTTGAATGGATATCGTTTTTTTGCCTTTTATTTTAAAATTTTCCATTTATTACAATTGACAATTTTTATTTATAAATTAAAATGAAATGGTTCTGTGGAAAAAATATGTCTTCGTAAGATCTTTTGAATAATAAAATTTAGAAAAAACATATTTGTGAATTAGTAAGTATATATAGAAATATTTTACCTAAGAACATCACAATAAAACATTCGGTCAGTCCTAAAAAAATTGTCCTGTTTTTTTGTCAAGATTAGATGTAGAGACAGTGCATTTTGTACACTAACTAACAAAAACAAAGACACTGCAGATATGTCGGCAAAGCCATCTTATTTGTCTTTTATTCCAATTTTTTGTTAACCATATGCCAGCCACATTGCTTCTATGATAAATAACAAACGACTGCAAGTTATAAGT